ACACACACACACACACACACACACACACATAATCTTCCTCTCTCCTTCTTTGTTTATTAATCACTCGCTCAGCCTTCTTTTTCACTCCGTTTCATGATCCTTAAAAAAAAAAAAAATTCAATATCCCGCCTCTATTTCACCCAAAAAAAAGGTCCAACGTCCCATGTGCAAACCTCAACGACGACGATCTCGACGAAAAGCCACACGAACCGAACTGCTATTCGACGATGTACTACTGCTCGAGGTATTGCTACTACCCCCGCTGCCGCTGCCGCTGCGAGGGCGTTTCCGCTCCTGAATGTTCGTACTGCCATTCCAAGACGCCCCTCCCTGCAGCTGAACCTTCCGAATTGCAAGCATTTCCTCCATGCTACTGGCCGTTGTCATCGCCATGAGCTTTTCCTTTTGAACCGGGTCTTGCAGAAGTCCATCATAAGCAGCATCAATAAACTGACGCCGCGCAACAGTGGCTCCATCCACGTGCAAGATACGTGAGAGCAACGTGGGACGCCGCGCAATCTCCACGGCGTCCGGCAAAAATTCCTGCTCAACGCCCACAGGCGCATCAAATAAAGCCGTTAACGCCATATACGCATGCGTAAATACAGAAGTGATAACATGGAAACTGCGTAGTGAACTCGCAGCATTATTTTGCACACAGCCTGGATCTTCTATCATCACCTGTGATAATCCCTGCGAGGAACTTTGCCCTGTCGGACTGCTAGGTGTTAAGGCAGACGTTTCACCACGTAGAAAGTATCGACCGCCGTCCAGAAGAGAAATACCGCACTGGTGATAGTTAAAGTACATGCCATAATATCGAAAGAAATCCACGAGTAGTCTTCCAAGGCCGGTGTATGCCCGCTCCTCGGGTCGCTCTGTGTAAATCGGGTGATTTTGAAGAAAACTAATCACTAGCAAGGTTGTCGCGAAGGATCCAAGGCCACCGTGATACGGCTCGTGCATACCACGTTGCTGCAAGAAGTATTTCACCAACACTATCAATGGTCGTGCCTCGGGAAAGGAGCGAAGCATGTCTGCAACGATGGCAGAATTCCTCTGGCCATCCTCGGCGTTGATACTGACGTCCACATCCAGCAAAGAAAGGCGGTGCTGAAATTTCACTAATGGGACCTTCGTCTTTAGGATAAGTTGGGGATATGCGGCGTGGCACAATCCTTCACGGCTAATTTCACGTGCTAACGCCGTTAGTGCCTCCTCCGTCGGTACGGGAACTTTCAGAATGGACATGTCTAGATCCGACAGCGGCAACAATAGACCTGTAGACATGCTACCAAACACAATAGGCTCGCAATCAGGCCAAAGACGTTTGGCTATCGTTCGCACCTCCATCGCAATAATTCTTCGCATAAAAATCTCCGCCTCTGAGGGACGAAGGTACTTCACAAAGTCGCATACCTCCTGATGCAGAGCGATGGCAGCGTTTGACGCGTACCCGCCGTGCGTGGTGTAGCGTTCCACACTCCAAAGCGGCACCACACGCTGCCGCGTCAAAAGTAAGTCTTTCGACTGGGAACGCAGCGATTGCGCGGATGAAGATTTGGGCACTACCCGCCCATCTCGACCCTCCTGCAATGTGAGCGTGGCTTGTAGGTCACTCTGTGCGACGTCGGACAGCGCGCTAGAGGGAGGAAGAAAACTGAGAAAGTCACCATGGATACCCACGCCCTCACCACCGTCATCACCACCGCCCAAAAGCTTCTTGACCCCCACATCTTGCGGCACGTGTTCCTCATCCTCCACAACGCTCGTCTCTCTCTCCCCGACGGATAATGTTGCTGTTCCTGCTGCTGGCGTTTTATGCATCGCTTCCTTTCCGTCCTTCCTGCTAGGAGCAGCGGCACCACATCGTTCCCTTTGTATGGTATCTTGATGTTGACGGAGCTTTTCTGCCAACTCATGCGAGATGGGTGGCACCAGAGGCACGTCCGCCTCCTCCATCATCAGCCACTCACCGCTGAAGTCGCTGCTCCTCTGCTGAAAGCGAGAAAACAAACTGCACGCTGGTGCCGGGGATGAACTGTTCGGCACATTTGGTGTGCCATTTAGCGACGTCGTGTTATCATTATCCTTATTGTCGTGATCATCGGTGTTATTATTTAATTTGTTATTGTGTTTACCGTCGGTGCAGGTCGGTGTGTCATCCGAGGTGACAACCGCCCCCTGGGAAACAACAACACGTCTGCGGCGTTTCATTGCCCCTCCCCTCGCCCCTTCATTTGTCCAATCAGAAACACACACACACACACAGAGAGAGAGAGAGGGTGTGAGAGAAAGAAAAAAGAGAAGTGTATGCGTAAAGAACAGCTTGCAGTTGTTTAACTGCGACAAAACAAAAAGGCGGAAGAACACAAACAAGCAAAAAAAAAAAGAGGTCACCAGTCACACTTCCTCCTCCTTCAAAGATAAGCCTACAACGGCTGTCAGCATCGACGTCTCTTCCAATCATTCTCTTTTCTTCTTCTTCTTCCACTTCCTCTTCTTAGGTGTTTGTTTTTTGTTTTTTATTTTTTCGTATTTTTGTGTTTTTCTCGTTCCTTTCCTCCCCATTTCTTCCCTCCGTACATTTAAAACTGACGACACGACAATTATGATAAATCGGGCTTAGAGCCAGCAAAACAAAATAAGGAAAACAATAATTACATTCGGAAGTAAAAGGAAAAAAAAAAGAAAAGAAAAAACCAACACACACACACACACAGAGAGAGAGAGAGAGAGAGCGTGTTATTCCCCCCTCCTCCTTCTTCTTCTTCCCACACACCCCGCTCATACACGCATACGAGCATACAGAAGGATAACAAATTTAAAAAAAAAAAAAGTAAAATTAAACATTGATGTAAATAATTTTTTATCTTCCTTTTCTTTTTTCTTTTTTTTTTTTTTTAAGTAATTCATGTAAGAAATTTTCCCGCTTAAGTTTGGAAAGTTATATTCCCCCCAGTTTTGCTGCTTTGGTGGGGATGTTCTTTTTTTTTTTTTTCTTTTTTTTTTCCTTTGCCCATCTTGACTCACATCCTACTAAAGCAGCTTGGGTCGCTAAAAACCGGCCACATGTTTGCTCCAGCCACTCGTCTCACACAACAGACACGTACGCACACACACGCGAGCGTATTCTCAGATGGTGGTGAGAAAGGGGTGGAGCAACAACTCCTCGCAGCTCGGTCGATCCTCCGGACGAATTCGAAGACACAGAAAAAGAAAGTTCTCCAGCGCAGCAAACAAGCGCATTCGCCGGCAATGCTCGGTAGAACCTGAAATGTCAGAATCAGGAATACTTGCGGCATCAGCCTCAATTTCCGTCTCATCCCCGACTTTTATAATCTCCAGACGTCTCCTCTTCTGTAGCTTTACATCCTCGGTGAGAGAAGCAGTCACATCGATCGCTTCTTGACTTTCTGCCTTATATGCCAACGACCGCCTCGCCTCCTCTGCCGCCTGCACCACGCTTGGCGGTAGTGGCAGATCCTCACGGGAGGAACCAATACGAAAAAGCACGCGGAGTTTATCTCTCGCAAGATGTCGCCATGGGGCAGCGCCCGTCACAAGCTCCATCACAACACATCCAAGAGACCATACATCGCCTGCGGTACCAATGCGATGACGCTCAAAACGGATCATTTCGGGAGCCATGTAAACCGCCGTCCCACGAAGCTCTGTGATGGCATCGTCTTCGGCAAGAACGGGGTACGGTGGCGCTGCAGCAGCCTCATGCGTTTCACTGGATGCAGCTCCAGAAGCGGCACTCATGCGCTCCTTCCGTCCCTCATAAAATGACAAAACAGTCTGCCCCGGTGATTCACAAGATTCGGATTCTGCCTCACTTCGCCGCAGACGCATGGAGCACCCAAAGTCTGCAAGTCGCGCGTCCCTCTCTTCCGTCACGAGAATATTTGCCGTTTTTACATCCAAATGGGCATACCCGTAAAAATGAAGAAAGTGAAGGGCCTCCACTATTTGCCTCGTAAGTCGCTGCACCTCTTCTATGGGAAGAGGCGGCATTTCAGGCGATACAGTTTTATTCCGTGAGGCGGCTGAGGCAACAAAAAAGGTAACCGGCGTACGTGAATATGCCAAATATGAACATCCATCACTACTTTCCAGAACACTCTTGGGCTCTTTTATTTCTTGAGAGATATTTTTGGAAACAGATGACTCGGAGTCAACCGGTTCAATCGTTCCACTAAAGCTAGGCAAGGAAGCAGTGGACATCATCTTCGAGGACATCACTGAAGGTGTACTTCCTCTGGAAAGCATGTAGTCTAGTAATGATCCCCGTGGGCAATATTCCAAATACATAAGAACAGAGTGGCCCCTTTTCTCTGCGCCATGAAATCCGACGATCCAGGGCATACGATGACGTGTTGCTACACTTAATACTTCCAACTCCAACTCCAACTGTTTTAGTCTGTCTCGCAACTTTGGTTCATTAGAATTAAATTGCAGCTGCTTTGCTGCAAGAACCTCACCTGTTTCGGTGTTCAGGCACTCGTAAACTTTCCCACAACATCCACCACCCAAAAAGGCACCAATGCGAAGCTCACCCCTCTTTCCTGCGACACCTTGTAGGCGTGGTCCCGTGGTTGGTTCTAATGGAGGAAGTGGGGCCAAAAGAAGACCGGTATTGGCCCTTGAATTATAACCCCAGATGTTTGCAAGCGGACGTCTAAAATATCGTCTAACTTCCTGCGAAGTTACAGATAGCGAATGTTGCCCAGATGATCCAAGAGAGCCTGTTGTGGCTGTGCTGTTTGGCGTAACGACAGCATTTCTTGGGGATAACTTTAACGGTGGTAACGTGTGGGTATCAATGGTTCGCAAAGCTCCATGAGCGTCGTGGTACGTCAAAGACAATGAGTATGTGGAGGCACCGTCACCCCGGGGACGCACAAAAACATCATCCACCCGACGATCGTGTTGCTGGGGAGTCGCGGAGACCATCCTCTCCGTTGCTCCCGCTGATACAGGCGGTCCTTGATGATGCGGCAGTGACTTGTCCCGTTGCGAGAGGCCGACAGCATCAGGCCCTTCATACAAAGACTTTCCCAGAAATTCTTGAGGATGACTCTCAGATGTGTGTAAAACTGCAGCGGGTTCAGGACCCTGGGATGCCGTGAGGGCTTTCGTATCACAACGGTGCCCTACTGAACCGCGCAGCTGTTGCTCGAGTCTTTTTTCAAGACTGCGTAACCTTGCCTCAAGCTGAACATGCCTGGTACGTGTGTCCCACGTTTCCGTGCTCATTTGCTCTCCGCTGCATCCCTCGGTGCATTTAGAAGAAGAATGGGGAATGCTCAAATTAGACAAAACATCGCTGGCATTCCCTCCCACCTCCACATCATGCGAGCCTCTTATTGCTGATGTGTTCAGTCCCGTGCTCGCTCCCCCATCAGGAGAGATAAAACCAGGTTGCGGAATCTCCCACCCTTGTGAAACGCCATCCAAAGTACAAGTGTGGTTGGATTGCACATGCGGCAAACAACTTCTGTCAGCTGCTCCAATCAAATGTGAAAGAGTTTGTTGTAAATTTCCCCCCGAAACATCATCCGTCTCTCCAAACTGCCGCTGCCAATCATAACCGCGTGGTCCGGGTATACATTCCTCTCCAGAAACAGTGGGAAAGTCGGAGGCGCGGCCGACCACGCACTTAGGAGATCGAGCCACCGGTGAATTGAACGCCTCTTTCACTCTGCAATCCCTCGCGTGTGCAAGGGCATTCTTCACCCCAGATGCTCTAGTCGACTTTAACGGCGACAACGTTTTCCAGTCAATCCCGCCAAGATGCGAGCCTACTTCCCCATCACTAAGCGCCGCCGTACTGGCACCGTTCCCTACTACTGACGTCACAGCCGGAGTTCCTTCGCCAGAAAAGACGATTTTAGGCGTATCAAGACCGCTGCTGTTGCTAATACGCCCGCTCATGCTCCGAAAGAAACAATGCGTGCAAAGTGCCCCAGATGAAAAGCTGGCCACCGACGAAACCCGCATCACCGCGGCGGATTCACAGAAACCACAGACGGTGGCGCAGTTTTGGCAGCGATGACCACGATGCGGTTGCTGAAAGCTCGGATTTGAAGATGAGGGCAAACTCAGGCTATCCACGTCAGCGTGCAGAGCCTCGCTCATCTCCGCCGCTACCTCAGACAACACATCCTCCTCATCCTCTTTGTCGGTAAGCCATGGCGTCTTTGTAGACGTACAAACAGCGGTCAAAGCCGCCGGGCGAAAATTTTTTCGGTAGAAGTCCCGTCCACTACCACTTCTGCGTTGCCTAAAAAGAATCGGTGCCCCTTTCCAACGCGGAGAGCCCGTCGATACATACACAGCAAGTGCACCGGCCATAGCCGTCACACCGAGAGAAATTAAAACTGTTGGGTGGTCTGCAGAAAAACTGCCTACGGCGGTGCATACAAGAGCCACATAGGAGCGGCACTGCGTGTACCATTGACTCCTCTCCATTGCCACCACTAGTAACGACAATAAAATTTAAAACGTACACGTAAGCTTTTTTTTTTTTTTTCTCCTTCTCTTATCTTGTTATTTTAGTGGCCAAATATGTTTATATAAATATTATTCGTTAGGAAGGGCGTATTTATTTCCCCAGTTTCTGAATGACGCTTTATGTACCTTTTCTTACTTTGACTCTTTCCTCTCCCCCCTCCCTGCCGCCCCCCTTCCCCCCACCTTCCCGGGTATATTAGTTACTCTGAAAATTTTCTCGTTTTTGCTGTTTTTTTGCTTGGTGTGCGCACTCCAGCCTTGTCCCGCACGCAGCCGTGTCCTTACTCCCTTGTCTTTATCCTCCCCCCTCCCCCCTTTCGTCGTTGCGTGTGTGTGTATGTGTGCGTTGCACCCCCTTCTTCAAGAACCACTCGCTCACTTTTGAACACAATAAAGAAGTGCCCTCCTCCCTAATAAGCGTGCGGATAAATGGAACTATGTATACAACGCCCTGCTCTTCTTCGCTGACAAAACTCTTTGCAGCCTCACGCACTCTTCACGACACACAAAACTTTTCAACCCTATATATATATATTTATTTATGTATTTAATTTATTTATTTCTCACCACCACAGAGTCAACTCAGCAGTGCCAGTACGAAAGAAATGAGGATTATTCACGTGCCGCCTCAGTAAACCCTTCGAAACGACGTGCGCGTAACAATAAATTCACCCAACCGCGTTTTTCCCCCTTCCTCCTCCTGTATTTGTTTTTCGCCTCGGCAGTCCTGCCTCTGCCTTGTAATATTTTCCCCCCACCCTCTCCTACGCAAACAAAAGCAATGCGGCCGGACTCAGGTTCACGCCAAGCACGAACGAAATATATAAATAAAATAAAAATAAAATTGAGGAAAGCCAGGGAACAATAACAATAACAAGAAAAAAAAAAAAATTGGTAACCGTAATAATTACCGATGTAGTAATTTAAAAAAAAAAAAAAAAAGTAAGTGTGGAAGAGGAAAAAGTGTGTCCTTTTTTGTTTGCGTGTATCTGTGTTAAAGCAGCAACAAAAAGAAGAAGTCCTAACAGATATGAGCGGCTACAATCAAAGGAGCCTTTGGGTGTGGTGTATATATGGGATGGAAGTATCCACGGATGCAAAAGCAACACAAATAATGCCGGCAGTAAAAGAAAAAGAAAAAGAAAAAGAAAAGAAAAAAAAAGAAAAGGCATTTCAAATTGCATGTCATTGTACACGGGCGGCAGTGGTGACATGAAGGAAAGGGAGACAGTGGAAGGAGAAAAATATTTGGCAAATGAACGTCAGAAAATAAACAAAACAAAAACAAAAACAAAAAGAGAGAATTGTGACTGGTCGCATCAACGGCATATCACCACCTCATTTTCCGCCGCTTCCTATTCGTCGTTGTCGCCGCCGGCTGCACCCTTCTTCGCTGCCTTCCTCTTTACACGCTTCACACGCCCCGGGCGGCCGTTGCCGAACGGTGAGGCGTCAGCGAAGGCAATGTGATGCTCGGAGCTCACGCGGACGATAAATGACGGGATGGTTACAATCTGCTTGGCCACCGCAATGTGGCGCTGTAGAATGAGCACACGTGCGTGGTGGACAGACTTGGCAAGGCCGTGCTTGAATACCACGGTCTGGAGGCGGCGCTCGAGAATGTCGGGGACGGTGAGCGAGAGGACGTAATCGAGTTTGTCCTTCTCCTCCTCGAGGAAGCCGTAGTCGTGGCAGCGGCGCATGATGGCGGAACCCTCCAGCTGCCGGCGCGGGTGGTTCTCCGGCAACGTCAACAACAGACGGGCGGTACGACGCATCTTGGAGAGCGTCATGTTCACGCGCCAAATCTCACGCTTGCAGCGAAGGCCGTACTGGCCGCAGAGTTTCATCTCGCGGTCAAGGCGTTCCTTCTCAAACGGGCGGCGTGGCGCCTTCCAGACACGGTTGAAGTTGTTGTAGTTGCGCATAGTGCTGGATGCGTATGATAACCCTCCTCTTTCAAGTGAACATCGCGTAGACGGTTTTAAAAGACAAACCAAAAAGAAAAAAAGGAAAAAAAGAAAGAACAAATAAACAAACAAAAAAAATTTTCTTCTTTTCGTTTCCTTTGGCTTCACCTCCCCCCCACCCAACCCCCCCACCCCCAGTTCCAAAGAAATAAATAATAATAAACGAGATGTGATGGAGCAATGCTGATGGGTGTGCGCCCGCACATAAAACCCGTCGTCTTCTTCTTCTTCTTCTTCTTTGTTGTTGTTGTTGTATACTTTTCTTTGGTCCCGCCCCTCTCACGAAACATTTAAAAAAAAAAAAAAAAGGGGGGGGGGGGGGTGGAAAAAAAGGACTTGAGCTCCTCTAATGCCCTCTGACTGGTGAAAAGCAGGCACCTCCGCCCCTCCTTCGCATTCAGATGCGTGTATGCATGACACTGGGTGTATTTGTATATTTATATTTATTTGTATGTATTTTTGCAAGCCTGCATCGCCACTTTTAACTCTTTTTTTTTTTTGTTTGTTTGTTTGTTTGTTGTTTTATTTTTCTTCCGCCTAACGTTTCGCCATCTTTTTTTTCCCTTTTCTTTTCTTTTCTTTCTTTCACCTCCTCCTCCTCCTCTCTCTCTCTTCGTCCTTTTATTCTTCTTCTTCCTCCGCCCCGTTTCTCCTCAAACCGACGCACGGAACGCGGACGTTTTACTTTCGAACGAACTTCATATAAAAGAGAATGATATCCATCACCAGCAACAGAAGCAGCACAAGCGCCTTCACTGCCCATTCCTTGTACACGCCTATGCGGATGTCACGAATGGCTCGCCGGGCCCCGCTCAAATCCTCCCGCGTGCCATCCACGCTGGCCAGTGTGCGGCCAATTGTCTCCTTCTGTCGGCCTAACTGCTGCAGCGTCGCGTAGCCCGTCTCGTTCGTCGCCTCACTCATCCGCAACGCCCGTAACAAATTCGCATTCGTGTCGGCAGCCAACTGGCCGCTGCGCGTGACGTTCGTGCGATCATCGCTGCCCGCCGCACCGCTCGTGTCGTTTCCGGCATGATCGTCCTGCGACACCGCCTCCCACCCCCCTCTCTGCATCGCCAAGCAGACCCCGTTCCCTTCAGCTTGGTTGTTCCCTAACAATTTTCCCTCTCCCCCAATAAAAGACTGCAACAAAAGATTAAAAAAAAAAAAACGGCACCGGTAAACAGGTATAATAATGACACAACTGATACAAAACATGCCTCTTTCTCTCCCTCACTGTATGTATATATATATACAGGTACATATTTACAAGTAGAAGTCCTTTTTTTTTTGGGAGGGGGGGGGGGGGGGGAGGGGGCAAAAAAATGAATCCAACGCCGCCGAGAAGCGAGTCAAACGAGGGCAGCACACATACGGACAATAAATAAAATGAACATGACAAGAACACAGTCTATTTGCTGCCTGCTTCGAGGTCTTGCTTGCAATAAAAAGAAAAAATAAAATAAAAGAATGAAAAAGCATTCATGCCGCCCATTTTCTGTGGTCCCTCTTGGCATCCAGCAGAAATAATAATAATAATAATAATAATAAAGACATGCATGCATACATATAAGGCGTCAAAAATAATAAATAAATAAATAAAAATAAATAAAAAAAATAACTCTTACATTAAAAACCATAAAAAGAACTAAAAAAAAAAGCGCATGGAAAAACCCACCAATGACGGAAGACAACTCAAAGAAAAAAAAAAAACATCAAAGGAGTACGACTCCGTAGCAAAAAAAAAAAAAAAAAAGGCTTCTTCTTCGTTCCTCATTTGTACATGTCCACACGTGTTTTTCTCGTTTGTTTTGTTTTTGTTTTTCTCTTTACTCGCGCCGCGGCTTTTTTGTTGTTGTTGTTGTTGTTTTTTATATAAACATCCCGTAAAAAATTGTCCCCTCCCCACACATATATGTATATACAGACGAAAGGGAAAAGGAAACATTGTTACTGCAGAACAAAAAAAATATATATATGTATATATGAGTTGTATTACTTTCGTCTCAGTGATGCATTTGGGGGTTCAATTGACGCAGACGGTGGTGCAGGTGTCATCATGAGTGGGACCCGGAGATTTGGAAGCCTGGACTGAGGTCTATTCGAAAGACTCACCTTCCTCACACTAGGAGTCAGCCCAGTTAGTTGCGACTGGGTTATAGCTGGTGTCGTCTTTAAGATCTCACCTTCTGAAGAGGGGTTTGACAAAGCAAATAAAAATTTCTGCGGTACCGACTGCCCGGCCACTGTGCCAACTGTTCGGGCATCGCTATGGTTACTACTCATAGGCACAAGGTCTCTGGGTGATGTGGAAATATGTTTGGGTTTTGTTTGGATTTTATCAGGTCGTTGCTTTCGCTCCGTCCCCACACCAACAGCAGAACCAGTGGCAGGGGTAAAAACAGCGGTGGGGGCCACAGTCGTACGGTCCGGGTGGACCCTGGCGGGAATGACGGCTTTGAGCGAGTTGGTGTCAACAGGGCTGCGGGTTTCTCCGCTCTCTTGTGGTACAACCGTCGTGGTCCCAGAATTTGGCTGCGTTCTCTCAGGCATCGACTCTTCTGCCGACAGGACTCCAGTTAAAGGGGATTTTTTCTGTTGACTGCTAGCGGGAGGACAGACAAAACCATTGCCACACTTAGTGAAATGAAGTGGGGAGAATTTGCGGCTCACCGACAGACCCGCCATCAACTTTGTTGGTTTTGGAGAGGACTGCAGCAGCTCTTGAAGCGCCCGCAGCAAAGTTGTGCTGCCGTCAAACCGGGAACTAAATGACTTGACTGTCAACTCCCCCAACACCTCTAATTGGGGCCATGATCGAAGATCTTCAAGGAAATTCCCCAACTCAGCATGTCTGCGGTCTGACATGCTGAGTGGATTATAATTTTCACCCACCCGCGACGTTTTAGGGCTATCAGCGTTGCTACGCGTACTGTTCAAATTCCCTCCTGTAGATGTGATGGAAAAAAACGTCACAAACTCATTGATAGTGATGTGCGATAATTCTCCTCCATCATCAATGTCAGTTATGGAATCTTTTGAGAGTCCGTGGAGCATGCAAGATGGAAATGACATCGAAGAATGTATATCTGATCGGGTATTCAAAAAAGCATCCAGAGAGCGCGCCATGGCCAATCGCCTTCCGCCAAGACGTATGGCGCTAAATATAATTTTCGACTGCTCGGTTGTAAGTGGCTCCCGCATGTGCCGGCCCATGAGTTGTATGGCAACATTCAGTTGATCGAATGTAAGTCTTCCATCTCCGGTACGGTTAAGGTTTCTAAAATTTCTTCGCAGTGCACTCAGTGAGCCGTAGTCAAACCCTTCATGCAGACGCAAAAGCGCAGGATAAATCCAAAGCGCATCCATAATGCTCTCCTCCACAGTACTCATAAACGGTCGATTCGCGGCATGGCTTAAACCCGGACCCGAGTTCCTCTCATGTGTCCCCGTACTTTCCGGCGTACCGGCCGCGACAATTGGCAAAAGAGGTGTTTTTTCATACAACGTTCCGTCGGACTCTTTCTCTTGGCCATTTACAACAAAAGCGTCGGCAGTATTGCTCGGGGTAGCCATCTCCACGCCTGCATCCGCCTGCCGTTCGCCGCTTCCGTCCACGAGTGACGTCGTGACTAATGAAATGATGGGCGGAGTGACGGCCCCTTTTCCCTTTGGCGGCTCGTCCCTCCATTTGTCCCCGAACGAGAAAGCAAACTCCGTGTCGAGCGAAATACTCGTCTCCAGCAACACGGCCCCCGCCTCTTCATCCACAAGAGTTGCCTCCACAAGATCAACAAGGTTGCCCAGTACCACGTGCCCGCACTCCTCCTGGTCAAGATACTGAAATAAGGCGTACATGGCATCATCCTCCAGCTTAGCCGCCACACGGGACTCTGAGCGAAGTATAGAGACAAGAAGATTGAAGTCAATCTTCAAAGAACGCCACGCTTCAATAGGGCATGAAGAACCCTGTGACTGAGTCGCATGCAGCTCGGGGCTCTTCGAGGATAGCAACGACCTGCTCCTTGAAGTGCCGTGAAGAGATGCAAGTGGTGTTACACCGCCCCTGCTGTACGCGGAATTCGCAGTCTGGCATTGCCCATGCAACGGAGATGACGCCGTTGTTGCCTCGAGGACATCGGTGTTGTCCAGACGGCTAAGCAAATCGTCTGGTAAATCCATGTCCCCAAAGACGCGGCGCACACACGCCACCTGAAAAGGCAGTAAGTACTGTGACGAAAAAAGTGCGTCAAACCTCCGCAGGAAAGATATGTACCGCACACATGGCACCCCGTCCAATTCTTGTTGTGCAGCAAAAAACCTGCAAAGATAATACCAGGGAAGGTCAATTTCCAAAACACTCCGCATAACCCCACACCATTCTATCTTGTAGATGATGCCACTTTGACTATAATCAGCCGCAACAAAACCAGATAGTATAGCATACCGCTTCCGGAAGATAATCCCAGCTAATATCATAAGCACATTCAGGCGAGAATTTAATCTCCGCTCCACAGATGTATCATATGCCGCCGTGTTGTCGGCTTCCATATCATCCTTGCCCTTCTCTAGGCCGTTCTTTGTCATCTTTAAACCCTCAAACTCTCTTTTTTTATCCGCAATCGCACTCGTTCGCTTTTCATCCGGTTCCTCTAGCGGCCTCCCATCCATTGATTTCTCCTCCTTTTCGGTGGTATCACCACTGTTGCCAACAGAAGGCATAATTTCATGCAGAAACTCTTTTGCTGTATACAAGTCTGTATCAAGCTCATCATTTTGTACATACCACGTGTGGAAAACAGGATGCAGAGAACCCTTTGAAAATACAGCTATCGCTCCACGGTTGCCCGCGACGCCGCAGTAATTCGATGCACTAAAAACTGTACAGCACTTGCCATTATGGATGAGCTCAAACCCCGCCTGCACCTCCTCGTGCGAGCGAACCAAAAGCCGAAGATTATTTTGTCGGAGAAACTCCTCCGTGAGGGGCGCAAGATACTCCACTCCGCATCCGCGTTTACTTGTGCGCCAGTGTTCGGCCTGGTGTCGCAGACCCAACTTCCGTGAGTGAAGCCTTTCTACCGGATCGTTCCAGAGTATATCTACAACAATCTGCTCATCTTCTGTAATATCCCCTGCTGTAGGGATGTGTCGCATACGACCCAGCGATTCAATGCGCTCAAGCGTCACTGGAACCCGCGGCACTCCACCGTGGACAACGAGAATCATCCCGTCCAGGAGTGTCATCAGCGGCATTGCTTCATAACTGTCAACAATCAGCTCCAGAAGCCGCTTCGCATCCTCCATTCCGTACTTGCCGCACACCTCCGTCTCGAAGCCGTATTCGGCATTGACGCGTGTGTCCTCGTGGTTCCCGCGGTTAATAAAAACAAACGTCGGAAAGGCACAAAGAAGGGCAAAAATATACAAAATAACTCCCATGCCATTCGACCCACGATCCACAAAATCCCCGTTAAAAACTAAATAGCGGCGTGGGTTCGGCAACCCACCGGTGAGCTTTATTGCCTCACAAAGATCTTTCATCTGTCCGTGTAGGTCCCCAATCACCACAGCAGCGCCGTCCTCAGGTATCGTCACGCGCTGCACAAGCGGGCGGGCAGCCAGAATACCGACGGCCATGGAGATAATTTGCTTCGCCGCTTCAAACTCCACCACCTCTCCGGATGTGATCGTCTTGGCTAAAGCCTCAAATCTTGAAGCGGAAATGCATCCCATCATAGGTGCCACATAATTCATGAGACGATGCGACGACGTTGATTTTGGATTATCACCATGAACAGCAAGTTGCACCTTGGTCGCCCGCTTCTCGCGGTACAACTCCACGGCCCGCCATACAAACTTGAATGAGAGCTCTTGAAAACGCTCTTGAAAAGCGGCGTTGCGCCAGAGGTCCTGAATACAAATCAGACGGTCCCTCAAATTATCCGGGAAGGATAACGGCTGCCTCAAATACAATGGGGCACCTGCAGACGAAGGCTCGATGGATGACGAAAGTGGCGGTTTGACATTTTCTTTCGCGGACACCACATTATCGCGCTTGTTGGGGTCACACAATTGTTTCGAAAAGGCTCGCTCGGCATCCACCTTCAACTTGTACGGGCACATGTCCCGAAGACATGGTACCACCATTTCCCCGCAGAATGTGCAGCTTTCTAATTTACAGTTCCTTTTGTGTTGTCGCATGCGAGACGCCTCCACGCGTAAGTTGCACCGTGCGCACTTCACCCACTTGCCCTCCTCAGAGCAGTTGCTCAGGTGGGCCGCGTACTCTGACACGGGAATCACCATCTCACACCACTTGTTTTCACACGTAACGAGTCCAACGCCATTCTGCGTGTACGCGTTGATGAGCCCGACAAGACACTCAAATGGATCCTCCGGCCGCCTCCTCGCCAAGACGTCAAGCCACTTGTCCATCAGCAGCCGCAGCCGGTAGCGGGCAAGATAACTCTCATGTGAGTCACCAAAGAAGAAACCCATGCTTGATACCGCACGTCCACCATAAAGTGCTAGTGTTGGAAATTTAAAAATAAATAAACAAATGGCAACAAAACGCAGCAATTTATTTTTTTTAATCCAAAGAAAAGAAAATAAATAATTAATTAATTAACAATTAATAAACACAACGTCAGCCGCAACAATCTTCAAGATTTATTTCATTGTGGCTCTGACAGACTTTAAGAAGATAGCAAGAAAGATAATAATAAAAAAAAAAAGCCACAAAAAGTAAAAGCACGCACACGGAAATAGATCAAAAAACAAATGAAAAAAAAAAAAGGAAAAATGCGCAGGCACGTGCTCGCTCCCTCATCTTCTTTTCATTGGCGGCTAAACCCCTCCCCCAAAGAGATAAATTGTGCATGTGCAGATACGTCGTCAGGCACGTGTCAGTGTTCTTGGCGACAGTGAGGCGGTGCGTATGGTCAGTCAACAGAGACAATTCCCCAGAAATGTCGTCCATTGCGCTTCTTGTATTCGCCCCCACCACCCACTTGCTCCTTCTCCCGCTGCCTTCACAAACAATTTCTTTTGATGGGAGATTAAAGAAAGGTTGTTTAATGACCACCGCAGTGCCCACAACAGGGGCAGAAATTCAGTATTTGATTCTCTCGCGTGGTGGCCGCATCCCACTGTTCCTCCGCGCCTTCCAAGAGGCCCTTTAGCGGGACCGACTCAAAGGACAGGCTGACACCTATCGATGATTCGATGGACTGCAGTAATTGCGTTATATGCGGCTGTTGCTGTTGTGCGTGTTGGTCGCCGGCAAAAATGAAAACATGTTTCCGGGCTACACTCCCTTTTTGCTTATCGTCTGGTAAATCATTGTTAATTGGCATCTCTTTTGAAGAACAGAGGCGATCCAACGTCTCCTGCAACTGCACAGCACCCGCCCCAATGAAAGATACATCCACCCCAGGAGCCGCACCGTCCGCTTCCCCCTGCGTGAAACTCCTTGTAAGCAACGCGATGTGTTCACCCATGAAGTCCAACCCCTCCTGCACAAGAGGGCTGCATTTCCCTACAGTAGCCATGTCACATATGTAAGGAAGCCGCACCACGACATGCGAAGCATGGTTTAATGCGCCCTGCATAGACGCATAGCCTGCCGTCCATGCCAATTCCACGGCAACCCTCGTCGCTGCATCTGCCAGTGGCACATCTGATAAATCCAACACCACAATTTGTCCTCCTGCGTACATGTCGTGTCCAGTAACGGGTGTCCCGTCCTCCACAATGTGATGCGTGACAACAACTGCCATATTTGCCCCACTGCGCGCCGTTATTCTTGTAAACCCCGTAGTGTCTTCCACCCCCTCACTCCCAGAAGAAGAAAGAAGAGCCGTTGTGGCATGTGGATCAGGGAACAGGCGCAGTTCATCGTAGGCAATGTCGTAAACGTTCCACAACTCCTTCCACACCACATAAGGCAGCTGCCTTCTCAGTTCAATATCTTTCTCTATCCCCGGAGTTTGGATGCCCACATGGAAATGTGGGTAGAGCAGCGGTCTTCCAATGCCAGCAAGTAAGTACTCCCCGGAAGGAGGCCGAGTGTTCGTCCTACGAAACCCGCGCAGATACATTAGCGTGGCCTGCGAGTTCTCAGGCGAGGCACCAGTGCCACGGACACGAAGCAACATCTCTGCCCCGAGTTCTCTTTTTTCCCAGCTACCCAATGCCTCTCTCTCTCTCTTTGCGTATGTGTGTTGCTGCAAATGGAAAGAAATGATAAAAAACAAATAAAGTAAAAAAAAAAAAAAAAGAATACGCCGAGGAATCGACAAAAAGACAAGAGAAGGCAAAGGCGCCGCAGTGTAACCCCATCATACATTGTATGTGTGCGCACAATCATATATTTATATATGACGGCAACGCTCTACGCCGACAATAAGAAAAGAAATAAAATTTGAACGCCTGCAGAGATGAAAGAGTAAGTGGGTGTGTGTGGCACCGCACTTCTACTTCTAACTCCTTCAATCCTCCGTCCTCTAATAATTCAACTGAATGGAAAACAAAAAATTTAAAAAAGAAAAATAAAGGAAGAAAGGAAAAAGAGACAGCCCGCTTTCCTCTTTTCCTTTCTTCCATCTATCTTTCGCGCACGGTTTGTTTGCATCTAAATTTAAAAAGTAACCTTCAACAAGAAGTCAACATCACACAAGGAAAAAAAACGGAGGAAACTTCAAAAAAAAAAAAAAAAAGAATTACTCTACCGGTTTGTCGCATCGCCCAGCAGAATGATTTCACGCTTCCTGCTGCCCGCCTTCTTTCCTGAAGCATATGAATACGCCCGGTGTGGCGTCACATGAGTGGAATCAACGCCGCCAAGCACGGTGTCATCACCTGCCACCAATGCCTGCGATACGGCCCTTGAAACTGGTGCGGAATTAAAATTTGTTGCAGGAACGGTGTGGCAAACACTGCTGCTACCCGTGGAGTTCTTATTGATGCTGCCGTTGCCTGGTTGTGTCTTCGTGTCACTGAACGAGTAGCTGTCCGTCGTGGCGCTTGTGTTCTTCAGGCAAGACCGCAGCTGGCGGGTCGGGACACTAGTAGATGCATTTGCTGTGATAAATTGTTGTTCCTTGTCGTTAGCATCTGCGGCGGCGGCGACGGCAAATTGAGCGGATTCAAGTGGAGTGCCATGACGGCTGTGTTTTGTGACCTGGAGCTGCGGAGTCTGCGCCTGCATATCCTTCTGGCGCTCATGCCGCACCTGTAGAAGTTGCCGCTCCGCTGCCGCCAACTCTGTATCAAGCGCCGTCACTTCTTCATGGCGTTGTTTCCGTTTCCCTTTAAGAGCGCTCTGTAAGACGCTCAGTTTTGTGCGCAGGCCGTGCTCCTCCTCCGCCCACGCGAGACTCTCCCGCTGCAGGACAGTCTCCACGTCCTCCCGCTCCTGAAGCCGCTGCTCCTCCGCCTGTATCTCCTTCACCGTATCATGCATGGACTCATAGTTGTCCAGCGTCTGAACGTACATCTCCTCCACGCGTGCCTTCTGCTGCACCGTTTTTTGGCATCGCTCCTCCAGCTCCCGCGCCTGTCCCTCGACCTCCTCCAGTCGTTTCAGCATCTCCTGCTTCTCCCGCTGCACAAGCCTGTCGTACCGGGAGATGTCCTGCTTTATCTCCTTTCGACGACCCAAGAGGGCGCTGATGTCCTCCTGAACCACGCTGATCTCCGTCTCCGCCTCCACCACGCGGTCCCGCCACTGCGTCAAGAGCCCCTCCGACATGACACCGCCAACACCTGCTAGGTGCAATGGATGTAGATAGGTGTGTGGGTGTGGCTGTGTGCCAGTGATTCCGCCTTCCCCGCTCAATTATCGGGTTTACTTCACTCTAACAAAGATCTGCCCCCGCCCCCACTCCTTCACAACCCGCACACGTGCCAATAAGCAACACACTATTATTTTGCCAGCACACGCACAGACAAAAATAATAATAATAATAATAAGGCCCATGAGAAGAAGAAAAAAAAAGAAAAAAAAATTTACAAGCAGCAACACGCCCAAAAACCCCCATTCAATCAACATGTCAGACACCACCTCCTCCTTTTATTATTATTATTATCAATAGTATTTCTTGTTCCCGCAGTAAAAAAAAAAAAAAAAAAAAACATAAAATCATAAAAATGACAGATAATTGCGGGAAACCAAATAACAATAAACACAAACATACAAAAAAATATATATTTGTTGGCAAAAAAGGACCAACAACAAACACCAATGAACATTCTATGCCTTACTCTTCTCCTGTTGAACAGACAAAAAAAAAAAAAAACAGAAATCGAAGAATCACGTGCTGCTTCCGCATTGCTTTTATGACTACGTATTTATATATATACTCAGTGCCCAATAAAACTTCTACGTTGGCCTCAGTATTTATGAACGTTAAGCACCGAAAAAAAGGAAAAAAAGGATGTTAAATGCATCCCCTCACCCACCTCCCGCGCGGCATTTTGGTCGGTTGGAGTGGACTGTAAAAACACACGTTTCGCAACAATCTCTGAAACAATAATCAAAAAAAGATGGTATCATAGTGCATACTTCGCCACACCCACACCCACACACAAAGTATGCTTACTGCATGGTGGATGCAAGGCGGCAATAAATGTCTTTGGCAACACTTGTGTGCATGTCACGATCAATTCGGGCCCGCCGAAAGGCATTCACGCTCCTCACCGCGATGTGGTGCTCCCGCACCTGCTGCCACATGGCCTGGGCAAGCAGGCGCCGCCCCAGCAGCAGGTGGCCACCAGCACCCTCCCTCGCCGCATGCGCCTCCACATCAGCCGTCAGCTTCATCGCCATGCGCCTCGCCTCGGGCTCCATGTCGTCCATCTCCGCCTCCGGCACCGGTAGCTCCTCCACAGGCACCAAGCGCGCAACCACACCAAAGACAAGAGTTAGGAACGACAACGCCAGGCAACCAACCCACTGCTCACCGCGCAGCGACACAACCTGCATAAAGCTTCCGAGCATCTCCACGGAAAACACCTGAAACGCAAAGCAAAAGCCAACAATGCAAACAAAAATTCTCGAGCGCTCCCACAGCCCCTCGAAGCAATTCATCTCCTCGTACAACTTGCGTGCGTTGAACATATGAAAAATAACGGAAAGGAGAAACACATTAAACACTATAGTCTGCATCTCACCCCCACTCACATCAAACCACGAGCCGCCAAATCGTTCCACCAATAGTGTGCTGACTGTTTGGTAACCAGCGATCGCAAGAATCGTGCACCACATGCGGCGTGACACAAGCGGGGCCTTTCGGGGAATGGGGCCACGGTCCAGGCACGCCTCCGACGGTTCCTCCGTCGCGAGCGCAAGGGCAGCCAGCGTGTCCATTATCAGGTTCACCCACAGCAGCTGCACAGTGCTCAGCGGGGAAGTGTGGGAGGACGACAAGAACGAACCGAGAAACGTCAGTACGACGCTCGAGACATTCACAGTCAGCTGCAGCTGCAGGAACTTGCGAATGTTGTCGTTGACCGTCCGCCCCCACACAACGGCACGCTGCACGGAACGGAAGTTGTCGTCCAGCAGCACAATGTCCGACGACTTCACTGCAATGTCCGTCCCGCTCCGCATCACAAAACCAACATTCGCCAGTCGTAGCGCGGGTGCATCGTTCGTCCCGTCGCCCGTCACGGCCACAACCTCTCCGCGCATCATCAGCATTAGCACCAGGAGCTGCTTGTCCAGCGGCTGCGAGCGTGCCATCACCACCATACGGTCAAGGATGGGCCAGAACTTCTCCATGTTAGCGCTGCTGCCGTACGCGTCGTACACAAGGCTGCGGAATTCCTTCCCGGTCATTGCCACATCGCCACGTAAACGGTTGTAAATGCCGCACTGCCGCGAGATCGCCACCGCCGTGTCCAGGTTATCGCCGGTGCACATTCGCACCGTCACTCCAGCTTGCTGGCACTTCCGCACCGCGTCTGGCACCTCCGGCCGCAGAGGGTCCTGAATGCCCACGAGCGCAAGCCACACCAGCGGCACCGTAGGCTCGCTCGCGGGAAGCGCTTCGCCATCGACACGCCCATAAGCCACACCGATCGTGCGGTTCGCGTCGTTAGCGAGGGAGCGGATCTGCACAACGATCTTTGTCCGCATCGCATCCGTCAGTGGCTCCTCCTCACCCGAAGCGGAAACGTAGCGGTCGCACATTTCCAGCACGCGGTCAGACCCGCCCTTCACGTGCTGCGTCAGCACACCGCCCGGGCCGGCTACAACGACGCTCATGAATTTCCGCTCGCTCGTGAAAGGAAAGATGGCAAAGCCGTGCGTGCGACCCCGCTCGCGCACGCGCTGGTGCGGGCGACTCGTCATGTCAGTGGGATCGCCGTCCTGCAGCAGCACACGGTCCACAAAGTCCAACAGTGCATTGTCCGTCTTGTTCCCCTTATCCGCCCGCCACTGCCAGTAGGGTCGCGCCACAGACTCCCCATCACGGCCGGTGCGACACACCACCTTCTCGCTCGAGCTGTTGAGCGACAGGCCCTCCACCAGCAGATCCCGCGACGCAGCCGGCACATTCCGCAGCACAATCGGCGTCGGAACGTCCCCGGGGTCGCGCACATTGAACCGCTGCAACCCAATGTACCCCTGCACCACACTCATCAGGTTCTGCGTCAGAGTCCCGGTCTTGTCGCTGCAGATCTGCGTCGCGCACCCCATCGTCTCACAAGCACACAGGCGCCGCACCTGGTTGTTGTCCTCCTGCATCTTCTTCTGCGAGTACGCAAGTGCAATCGTCACAGCCAGTGGCAGTCCCTCCGGGACAGCCACAACAACGATCGTGACGCACAGAAGAAAGTGGTCCAGGAACGTCTTCATGTGGAATTCATCGGTGCCACGAATGATGCGAAACACCTCTAGAAGCGACAGCAACGAGAAAAGAAGGACCGCACTTCCCATGCCAAAGCGGCCAATCAGCCCCGCAAGCTCGTCCAGGCGCTCCTGCAGGGGTGTCATCCGTGGCCCACCCTCCTGTCGCGACTCCATCAGCAGTTTACCGCCAAACGAGCTCTCGCCCACAGCACACGCAAGCATGTACGCGTCCTCCGCTGTATTCACAACGGTGCCAGTCAGGAGGATCGGCGCCTGCACACCTTTCTTCTTTGGGTCGTTCTCCCCAGTCACGCTGCTTTCGTCGATCACCACGCTGAGGCCGCGCACGTAAAAGCCGTCCACGGGCACCACGAGACCAGTCGACAGACTCACAATATCCCCCACAACGATCTCCGTCACGTCAATGACCTGCTCACGCCCGTCACGAATCACTGCGATCGGCTGCGCAGAGTTCTCCTCCATCAACTGGCGGAACTTCAGCTCTTTGCGGTAGTCATTTACAGATGACACCGTCGTTACAATAAGCACGGAAACTAAGATCGCAAACCCCTCAATCCACCCCGTCCCCGTGTCCGCCTTGTCCCGGCCGGGCTCTGGAACTGTCAGACCAAGCACCAGCGACACAAATGCAGCGCCAGAAAGGAGAAGTATCATTTGGTCACTCCACGCCGCCTTGTATATCCGCCAGAAAGATAGCTCCTCCTCCTCTGGCAGCTCGTTCCTTCCAAACACGGTGCGGCGCCGTTCCACAGTGTCGCTTCTTACACCATTACTAAGATCCATCTGGAGCTTCGCGGCAATGCCCTCGACCCTCCCCAAATTCTCGTACAGCGGCATACCCTCGTTGGCACGGGCAAATATATTTTCAAGATCCGTTCGAATGCTCACCCCGACGTCGTCACCGTCTGTGAAGTTTAGACGGATTGAGGTTCTCCGGCGGACGGATTCCATCAGACGAGATCGCCGCATCTTAGTTTCCTCCTCCATTTCATCACACGAGCCATAGGAGAAAGAATTAGATGATCTCCGCATCTTCAATTTTTGCGTGAGAAAAAAAAAACTGGAGGGGAGGAGAAAGAAAAATAATAATATGCGTGTGTGTATGATGTCGTTGCCCCTATTTTAGCAGACAACAATAAAGATATGTTTACAGCTCTTGCGTATTTGAAATATACTCACTTTTTATTTGGTTTTGCTAATATCTTACGTTTTTATTGTTCTTTTTTCTTTTCTTTTCTTTTTTTTTCCTTTTTTTTTTTTTTGTTTGTTTTACGTTTTTGTCGTCTACTTTTTTTTCCCCGGTTTATGCCTCAAGTAAAGTACTAAGCGGTGTTGTAATGGCAACAAAATGGCATGAATGAGAAATAAATTAAGAAAAAAATTAAAAAAAAGAAGGAAAGAGGAAGAGACATGTCGTCTGCACCAAAATAAAAAAGAAAAAAAAGCACACAACACAAACACTCGTATAAACGCATACATGTATGACGTCGTCACACAAAAGGGTATAATTAGATGTATATATATATATATATATATATGTGAGAGAGAATGAGTTTATCGCATCAATCTCAAGTTAAAAAAAAAAAAAAAAAAAGATATTCTCTCTCTCTCATCTTAGCATTATTTTAACAATAACAACGTGTCGTCAGTTCCTTCTCTCTCCCTCTCTCTCTCCTTTACTCTTCTTTTCTTTTCTTTTTTTTCCAGTCCTTCTCGTTTGTGGTTGTCTCCTGCCTTTTCCACCCCCCTCCCAGTCTTCCTCCGCATCGCTTTGGAGAGCCCTCCCCTCGCTGTATATTTGTGCTGCCAATGTAGCTTTTGTTGTTGTTGCTGCTGCTGCTAATGAGAACCTTCTCTTTCTTTGCGTTTTTCTTTTTCTTTCCCTCTCCATCTCTGTGTGGGAAGAAAGGAGTGAGTTTACAGGTCGCGCAGCAGCGAGGTGTTGAGGAGGACTCCATCACAGAGGGACTCTAAATGCTGTGTCTGCTCGCGCAGCTGCATTAACTTCAGCAGTGTGTCGATGCGCTGACCCAGCGGGCCGTAACTCTCCTCCTTCTGACTGAAGTAACTCTCGCTGTGAAGCCCACGGGAAAGCTCATCTGCGTTGTGGCGCACAGACTCGATAAGAGCAGCCATGTAGTCGGTCATAACCTCAGAGTGCAGCGTTCTGCAGGTGCTTGAAAGCGGTGCAACGTTGAATCCACTGAGGCAGAGAAGTTGATACTCGTCCACATCCACCTCCACCTTCACCTCCCGCAGAACACCGCCCTTGCCGACATTACATTCCCGCATCAAGCGGTTCTCCCGCAGGATGTTACGTTTGTCGGTGAGTCTTGTGTAAAATTCCACGTACTCACGCGTGGGAACAAAGGCGCGCAGGTACAGTTTACCCATCAGACTCGTGCGGAATGGATCGTACACAACGAGAACGCTCGGGTTGCCATCCAACGCCAATTGTGCCAGCTGTTGCACTGTTCGTACAGAGTACGGGGCGTTGGTATAGGCACTGCAGATTGCAAAGTAACCTACGTGGTAGCTATCAAGCTCCTCCTTAAAAAACATCTTCCCCATCCTCTCGTACATCTGTCTCTCCTCCCGCTGCTGTGCCAATAGACGCTTCTCACGTTGTTCAGGCGTCTCGTCCTCCGGAGGTCGGGGGTTGATGACGGGGGGCAGCACATTCGTTACCTCAATCGTTTCATTGAGCTGCACGCCGCAAAGCCGGCCAAACAAGGCGTAGTGGCACGTGGCATTCTGCGCATAACTACCGAGACATGTCAATGCAGAAAAGGAGATGCGCATCCTCTGTGCCATGGGCTGCAGTAATGTCCCCATGCGGCCCTCCTTATCATGCAAGTGGAACTCCTCGCTGATAACCGTGTCACGGGGTGCTATCTGCACATCCGGAAAGCCGTGAAACATCACAATTCAAAAGTTATAATAAATCCCTTTTCTTTTTTTTGTTGTTGTTCCTTCTCTTTATTAGTATTATTACTAATTTGCGTTTCTCTTCTTTGCAGCGTGCGTTTTTGGCTTGTTTTCCTCTCGCGTCTTTGCCTTCAGGCGCTTCGCCGCAAGTCCGAGATACGTGAAGTTCTTCTACGGATGGGTGTTATTTGGGGGGAGCAGAAAGGTGAAAAGATATGAGGGTGTGGATTGTGGTGGGAGAGACAGGAAGATGCACAGACAGCGGAGTATCAGTGGCAAAAGGATGAAGGGAGGAAGTGGCAGCGCATGAGTGTCAGCAGTAAACACACAACTCACGTCGCATCCCATCCGGCTTCGCCCACACACACACAAACACCGGCAAGGCATTTTATTCTTTCGCCCCGTTGCAGTGGAGGCATACATTTACCGCAGCCTTACCCTCCTCTCATCCTCTGCGTGAGTGTGTTGCTAAACTCCCCCAATCTCACGACTGTTTGCTCTCCCATCACTGCCTCTCTCACACACACACACACAGAGAGAGACATTTATGAGACAATTTGCAGAAAAACACAATGAATACCCTTTTAAACAGCAATATGCATCTCACGATCAATTCGGGCCCGCCGAAAGGCATTCACGCTCCTCACCGCGATGTGGTACTCCCGCACCTGCTGCACAATGTCCGACGGCTTCACGGCAATGCCCTCAGCCCTCTCCAATTTCTCGTACAGCGGCATACCCTCGTTGGCAAAAGCAAATATTTTCTGAAGTGTTCACCTGTATAATGGACCAAACCGCTCCTTGGAGCCCGTAACATTAACAACTACCGGCCTGCCAGCGTTCTGCTTGTGGGCCATCTCTTGGCACTCTTCTTCCATGTGCAAACCCTGGGCAATCGTTATTCCAATCAAGGATGCCCATGAAGGCAATTTTATGTTTGGTATTGATGCACCCCTGCTTGAGATGCGTCCGAAAAAACTTGTGTATTCATAAATATGTCCTTAAATTCTCAAAGTGTTAAGCATTACTTTCTCTTTTTTCTCGGTGTGGCAGACACAACTACACAAATGGCATAAACAAAAATGAAAAAGTTTTCAAAGGAACGCAGTGCGGTGTAACAATAAAAATTACATGTAGAGAGCACCAAAACACAGTACATCATCAATCACCTCTAATCAATCACTTTCAAGTTTATAATCATCACAGCAAGCACTCTTATTTCACCATTATTTTTCGCACAACCATCGCCTTGAACTCCTCCAATCGAGAAAGGGACTCGGTCATTACCTTCCTTTCCTCCACGAGGCGCAACAATTCAGCCTGCAATGAAGACATAGAGCAGCGCAAAAATTCAACACGTTCGGTAAACTCCAACTGCGCCCGATGCGCCCCTTCCTTCGAAGAAGCCAGTTCCAACGCTAACATTTTTTTTTCCTCGTCACTCCTTTCAATAATTAACTTAACACTTTTCTTCCACTCACCCATACGGGCATCTTTTGACACACACGCAAGGCAATTCTTGTCACCAATCACAACCACCCTTTCACGCCGAGCCTCCTCCAGCTCCCGCTCCAGCCGCTGCACCTCCCGCGTCAGTGTGGCCACGGCCTCGTCTCTCTCCCGTGCGGCGTCGCGCTGCATGGCCTCCGTGGCACCAACGGCTCGCTCCTGCTCCTGCCGAGCCTCCTCCAGCTCCCGCTCCAGCCGCTGCACCTCCCGCGTCAGTGTGGCCACGGCCTCGTCTCTCTCCCGTGCGGCGTCGCGCTGCATGGCCTCCGTGGCACCAACGGCTCGCTCCTGCTCCTGCCGAGCCTCCTCCAGCTCCCGCTCCAGCCGCTGCACCTCCCGCGTCAGTGTGGCCACGGCCTCGTCTCTCTCCCGTGCGGCGTCGCGCTGCATGGCCTCCGTGGCACCAACGGCTCGCTCCTGCTCCTGCCGAGCCTCCTCCAGCTCCCGCTCCAGCCGCTGCACCTCCCGCGTCAGTGTGGCCACGGCCTCGTCTCTCTCCCGTGCGGCGTCGCGCTGCATGGCCTCCGTGGCACCAACGGCTCGCTCCTGCTCCTGCCGAGCCACCTCCAGCTCCCGCTCCAGCCGCTGCACCTCCCGCGTCAGTGTGGCCACGGCCTCGTCTCTCTCCCGTGCGGCGTCGCGCTGCATGGCCTCCGTGGCACCAACGGCTCGCTCCTGCTCCTGCCGAGCCTCCTCCAGCTCCCGCTCCAGCCGCTGCACCTCCCGCGTCAGTGTGGCCACGGCCTCGTCTCTCTCCCGTGCGGCGTCGCGCTGCATGGCCTCCGTGGCACCAACGGCTCGCTCCTGCTCCTGCCGAGCCACCTCCAGCTCCCGCTCCAGCCGCTGCACCTCCCGCGTCAGTGTGGCCACGGCCTCGTCTCTCTCCCGTGCGGCGTCGCGCTGCATGGCCTCCGTGGCACCAACGGCTCGCTCCTGCTCCTGCCGAGCCACCTCCAGCTCCCGCTCCAGCCGCTGCACCTCCCGCGTCAGTGTGGCCATTTGTTTTTGGTACTTTGCTTCCTGAAAAGCCATGTTTTTTTGAAGCTGTTTCACTTCTGTTACAGCGGCCCGGCCAATGCTATTTACTACCTCTGTAGGTGCTTCAAAAGATATATGACTCTCTGTCGAGGCGGAACGTAGTGCTTGAAGTTCCTCTTGCAGTTCTTGAATTAATTTCTTGTCTTTATGAATCGTTTCTTTCACAAGTTCTTTCCATCGTTCAACTCTTTGCTGAACTGCTTGTTCTATCACGTCTTCAGTTAATTCTTCGGATCTGGGAACGCTATCTGGTTTTGGGGGACACTGTACGAGAGATGGTGGCATTTCTACATTTTGTCCTCTATCCGTTAATTCTTCATCCGCTGCCAATTTTTGTGCTTTCTGAGTTGATTCCAGTTTCTCTTCAAGCTGGCGGATGCGATCCATGTCTTCCCGCATTTTTGTTTTGACGCGTTCCTGCCATAACGAGAGCTTCTCCCGCACAGCTCTCTCCAATACATCAGGTGGAATCGTTGCCGGCGTTGCCACAGAAAAAGAAGAGGTGGTGCCAGCATTGGCTTGCTGCTCTAATCGCGATTGCAGCTCAGCAATCATCTCCTGGTCGCGGCATGATGCAATTTTTACCTTCTCCTTCCAGGCATTTACTTTTTCTTGTAAGGCCGTAAGTTCTTCTGTCTTTCCATCCAACTCTGCTTGAAGGGCCCTGATGATTTCCTCGTTGCGGCTTATTTCCTTGGCGTATGCCATGCGCTCCTCCTCCATATTCTGTTGCGGCGCCAATTCACTACGATGCTCGGATGGCACCGGTGGCAGTGATCCTACTGAAGTCAAGCTTGAGTTTAAAACTGCTGCTCCAACTTCCGAAGCTGGTCGACCAGTGAGCTGCTCAACCAGTCCCTCGAGAGTGTTGATACGTGTGCTCTTCTCACGAATACTTCGTGCCTGTTTCTTTGCTATTTCAATAACTTCTTCGCGCGACATGCGCCCCAAGTCCACGATGCGGGTATTCCGTGATTGATTAGAAGATTCCATCGCGGAGCTAAAACCCCAATAAATCGCTGTACGTATGTATGTATGTGTCTTTTTGAACTTGTTTCCCTCCTTCCTTTGGGAAGTTTCTTTCCTTTTATTAAAGTTTCCCTTCAGTGATGGTCATCAGGAAAAAATAAAAAAGAAATTTCTACGCGACGCATTTTTTATGGTCCAGTATGTATCTTTTTATGTGTATTTGAAACCGACTGTGGCTATTAGTTTAATAGCCACAAGAGTAAACATCCAACCATTTAAAGAAATGCTTCTTGTTTTTCTTTTTGCTTTATTCCTGGAAAGGATAAGAAAAGTGAGGAGAAGGGAAACGAGTGACTTTGCAGCTCATCACCCCCCTTCACTTCCCATTTTGTGTTCCTTTTCTCATTTTCTTCCCAATTTTATTCGATTGGCACCTCGCCACCACCCAGTCACCCTCCAACCGCCACTCTAACGGCTCATGACAGCAGCAGCGGTGACACCACACCCACGACCCTCACCCTCAAAGAGCCGCCACCTCCGCTGCTGCCGTTTCTGAATGACGACGACGAATTGACGGAGGTCGACGATCGTGAATACCTCGGCCCCGCCGGGAGCACCTGCACGGAGAAACTCACCCCCTCCATCTGCAGACGGAGGTCAAGTTGGGCAAAGCCGGTGCGTGGCAACTGGTGTAACTTCCCCGACAACGTCTTTGGTGCGGATAAGACCGCTGTCTTTCCCGCCGCATAACGGCGGTCCTCGATAGCACCTCGTTTGTCCAAACTGGCCCTCTCTGTGCCGTTGTTGCCACAGAACTTCATCGCCGCCACCGTAAAAACGCGCGCGTCGATGTCGAGCATCCCTTTAACATGCGCACGAAGCAACACAACAAAGTCACCCGTGTCAGTCCCTTGACCCTCCCCTTTCTCCATCTCTTGTAGAGAAACATGCATGCCGGTAACCTGCAGGGTGCTCCTGCCGAGGGGATACGGCAGTGGCACTACGGCTGATGATGACAATGACGGCGTGGCAATATCTTTGGTGACGCGGGAAAGCTTAAGATCATTCACCACGTCCTTATCTCCGCCAATGCCCTGAGACCGGGCAAGAGCATCATGGACAGAGGCCACAAACACTTCTGCAAAAACATGGCGTACCATCATCTAGTCTTCCCTCCTCCCACCTGAATTCGTGCTCTCCCTCTTCTGCCTCTTATATGTGGGCTTTGTTGCTTGTGCGGTCCCCTTTGCGCTTCTAGATAAGTGCAATCACAGCAAAAAAAAAAAAAAAAGGGAATCAAATATACAGGCAGAGCACATAAAGTGGGCGAGAGTGTGTTCTTTTGTGCGTTTGTAATAAATCAGATAAATACATGTAGAACTGCTGATTTTTTTTTCCTCCCCCAACGATGTTATTCAGCCGCTTACTGCTTTTGTTCGTTTATTTGTTTGTTTTTATTTAAAATCATACTTACTTTTTCATTTTTCCCCTCCTATTCCAGTTCTTCTTCGCGGGTTAAACGTGAAAAAGCGATAACACCGCCAGAGACAGATGCCATTTTACGCAGCACTTCCTTGTGTGTGCGTTTGTGTGTGTCCGTCTCGCTCTCTCTATTTTACCCCCTCTTTCTCTTCTTGCGTGCACCCGCATGATTGTTTCCAGCGTTATTTCCCTCCCCGCCGAGGCTTGTCGTCTTCGATGTGTCCCTCCTGTTTCGTGGAGCTTGTTGCCCCTCGCCCCCCAATTTCCCGTGTTTGCGTCCAGAGGCACCGCGTGCCTCTGCCCCACGCTTCACATCGCCATCACAACCTTCGGAATCAGTCAAATCATCCTCATCGTCCTCGTCGTCGTTGTCACTCGCCATAGCGAGATGGCCCTCGTCACTCTCAAAGTACCCCGTCAGATGCACCACATTTTCCGGCGACGTCGGTGTGTCGTGCGCATTCTTGCCATTCCTATTCTTACCATCTTTCCTGACCTTCTGCTTGCTGCCGTCATCTGGGCGCTTCTCCCCCGCCGCCACTAAAATAAATGACACCTTCTGCGTGAAGACAAGCTGCAGCGGAACGTAGTAGATGTCGTGTTTTGGCGACAGAGTACAAACGGCAAAGCGATGGGGTTGATCGTGGCTCTGCACGTACAGCGTGACGGGCCCTGTGGTGGTAGATGTCAGCGCACAGTGTGAGAGCACCAGTGAACTATTCGGCGGCATGGGTGGAGTTACCGGCACACCGTCAGGCCGCATAGCCACACCGAAGAAACAGTGAAGTGACATTTCTTCCCTCCTGCTTTTGCCAAGACAAGTGTGGAGACAAACAAAGAAACAAGGGAAAAAAGAAGGGGCTTTTCAAACAACACAAAGAAGGGAGCGGCTCGCACAGACGCGCATCCGCCCGCAGTAGATTGAGTTACATGTGCGTTGATGTGCAGCCGGCACATATGCATGTGTGTGTGTGTGTGTGTGTGTTTGGGAGGGGGGAGAAAATACACCAAAAAAAAACACACACACGCAGAAAACAAGTTATAGATGACGTCTGTGGGGCTTGACAGCCCGTCACGCCGCAGAATCACTCTCTTCCTTTTTTATTCTTCTTTTCTCCTTCTTTTCTGGAATGCGTGAAGTACGTGGGAAAAATGATTGCCTTGGAAGACACGAGGGAAAAAAAAAAAGCCTAATCAACATATCTGCCTGTCCCATGTGGCTTCGGCTTCCCACCGCCCCGCTTTGCCTTTCACCCCCGTTTATTTGTGTTGGTTGTTCGTGTTTTGGCGTCAAAGTGGCGTTCTTTGGTCTCCCCCGCCTCGGAATTCCATTTTCCTCCACTTATTTACCGCCACAACTACGGATTTCTTTCCAAAAAGGCGCCGTGTACATCAACACACTCAAGAGCCCGGAACGAAGGTCACGCCCCCCCACCCCACCCCCCCCAATACACACAGGCATGGACAAACAGGGAAATGCGTGTGTGTGTGTCCGTGGAAGAAAGAAGGGAGAAAGAAACAGATATTTAATCGCAACAAAACACAAAAAAAAGAAAAAAAAACAAATAAAAAAAGCAAATAAGTACAGAGCAAAAGAGAAAAAAAAAAAAAACATCGATGCGCGGTAAGGGAGCCGTGCCAATTCATATACATAAGGATACATGGGTATCCATTGTACCTAAGTTCAAATAATGGGATAAAAAAAAAAAAAGAAAAAAAGAGTGAAAAAAAAAAAAAAAAAGACCGAAGCATCCCCTCGTAACGCCAATTGCAAGCGTCCAACATCAAATTATACCCACACCAAAAACCTCTCAACCGGTTGTTCAAGAAAAAAAAAAAAAAAAAAAGGACGCACGCACGCACACACACACACACACGCACAACAACATATATAACAGAAAGCATTTAATAAGTAAATAAATAAGGAATAAGGAAAAAAGAAAAAAACCTCACATCTGTGCACTGTAATTCGGACCGCCACCTCCCTCCGGCACACTCCAATTGATGTTCTGCGTGGGATCCTTGATATCACAAGCCTTACAGTGCAGACAGTTCTGTGCGTTGATGACTAATTTCCCATCCACGAATTCGTACACCTTTGCAGGACAATACTTCCCCTCAGGACCCTCATACACAGCAAGATTGACTTTTTCCGGCACTGAAGAGTCCTTCAGCTTGAGGTGCGCCGGTTGGTCGGCGTTGTGCGCAGTGCCGCTACGGCTATGGTTGGTGAGAAGATCAAAGGTGAGTTTCCCGTCAGGCTTCGGGTACTCGATTGGCTCACAATCCGCGGCGACTTTGAGGGCCTCGTGGTCCGGCTTGTGATGTGAAAGCGTCCATGGCTCCCAGCCGCGCGTGATCGTTGTTGTGATCCCTGTGTACAAAACACCCTGGAAGAAGTTGCGTGCAAACACCTGGCGCACATTGCGCACCGCGTAAAGTTCCTTGTGCAGCCAACTGTTGCGGAACCGATCGTCGTAGCTCCTGCACTCCACCCCATCCCGCTTTTCCTTTCCGGAAGCAAAGGCGTCATCGTATACCGCCTCTGCTGCAAGTATACCAGACTTCATTGCCGTGTGGGTCCCTTTAATCTTCGGCAGGTTCAAAAATCCGGCGCAGTCACCAACGAGCAGGCCACCGGGGAAGTGTAATTTGGGCAGAGAGACGTAACCGCCCTCAACAAGGGTTCGTGCGCCGTACAGCAGGGGTTTTCCATCCTTCAGTTGCGACGAAATCAACTTGTGCGTCTTCCACTTCTGCATTTCCATGTACGGTCGGATATGCGGGTTGCTATAGTCCAGACCAATAACGAAGCCAAGTGAAATCAATCCATCGCCGTAGTGATACATGAAGGAGCCACCGTATGTGTTGTGATGTCCCTTGTCCGTGAGGGGCCATCCAATGGTGTGCATCACCGTCCCAGGACGATGCGCCTCCGCTGGCACCTCCCAAACTTCCTTGATGCCGAGCCCATATGTCTGGAAATTTCCCTCACCACGGAGACCAAACTTTTTCTCTAGCTGCTTTGTACAGGATCCGCGGCATCCTTCGGCAAATATAGTTTGCTTTGCCTTGAAGATCATGCCAGGTTCGTATTGGGGTGTTTTTTCACCCCTCTTGTTGATACCAACGTCATTCAGCTGCACCCCTTCTAGCGCCTCGCCACTGCCGTCATACACTGGCTGCGCTGCGGCAAAGCCTGGGTATATCTCCACACCCAACTCCGTCGCCCGCTCGCCTAGCCATTTACACACGGAACCAAGAGACACAATGTAGGAATGGCGATTGTGTAGTGTGGGCGGAAGCAACGGCGACTTCATGCTTCGCTCCTTATCCCGAAGAAGATATAATGCATCATTCTTGACAGCTGTCATTGTCGGCAGATCTGTGGCTTTGCGCCAGTCCGGTAACAACTCATCTAGCGAGTGTGTCTCAATACAGGCGCCAGAGAGCGTGTGCGCCCCAATCTCACTTCCCTTCTCGACGAGTCCAACCCGAAAGTCGTCCTTCGCATCGCCGGCAAGCTGTTTCAGGCGGATGGCCGCAGATAATCCCGCGGGGCCACCCCCCACAATGACAACGTCAAATTCCTCCACCATCCGTTCCACAGGCGCGCAAAAAATGCGGCAGGAACGACGAAACATGAATGAATATGGTACGCTGGCAGTGTATTTAATTAATAATGTACTATCCACCTAGACAAATCTGAATGTTCGCGGTAATGATTCCTGCAGAGATAGGAAAAGATGTAAAAAGTGAAAATGAAAATAAAAATCATAGAGAAAGAGAAACAAAGGCACATTTATTTTATTTTATTTTTTTTTTTTTTTTTTTGTGGGTGTGGGTGTTTGTTTTGGTGTCGTTTATGAATAATATTTCGTTCAATACATGTGTGTTTATTTGTTTGTTTGTGTGTGTGTGTGTGTGTGTTTATTTATTATTCTCTGTCTCTCTTCATCTTCTCGGTGGCGGGGGCACAAAAAATTCAAACGAAGGGGTAATTCCTACATATCCCTCATTTCCCCGGCCCAACGAAAAAAAGGCGTACTCAAACACGTTAAAAATAATAATAAACGCCAAGCAAAAAAAGGACAGTAACTTAAAGAGATACAAGAGGGAAGGAGATAAATCAGTGGGCATGCGCACTCACGGCCGTTCCTCAAACTTTACACAGAGGCACCCTTATGTATATATATATATATATCCCTAGTAACACGGGCATTCAAACATGCCCCGTGTTATTGAAATAACAGAACACGAGTAGAATAAAAAAAAAAAAAAAAGAACGTACATTATAAGCAGAAAATCAGCATGTTATTTCATCTGTACACTCCTCTCCTTCTTTCTTTATCTATCCCTGTCTTTTTTTTTTTTTTCCCTCCGGCATTCCACTTTCTTTCGTTTTTTTGTTTTTTTTGTTTTTTGTTTTGTTTCTTTTCTTTTCACTTCGTATGTTTCCCCTCCACCTGCTCAATCACGCCACATGGTGGCGTAGTAGCAGTAGTAAAAACAAAGTTGTTGCGCTGGCCGCAAACGTGTAGTCATCCCACCGCCACTCATGCGACACCACATCAGGCAATGTTTCTGACCCAGTGGAGAGCAGCTGCTTCGGCCCCTGATGTTCCTGTCTTTTTCTTTGTTGTTGTTGTTGTTGTTCATGAAGCTCCGGCGCCATTGACGCTTTTTCAGTTTCATTTTCCGCACCACTGCCACCGTCACCCCCGCCGCCACCACGCGCCATCGGCATCGGTAACCGCAGCATCCAGGAAAAGCCGAACTGCTGGTGCGAAAAGTACAGCCACCACCACTGGAGGTTGAGGGTCATTAACGCCAGCTTCACAGCGTAGCCGCTCCCGCCTGAGCCAAACTCCATGGCACGGTCGTAATACCGCTTTGCCAAGTACAGCCGCATCTCCTCCGCAAGAAGAGCGTCCTTGATATTCTTCGTACTCGTCGTCCTGCTAAAATTGGCTTCAATTCCACTTTTGCCTCCTCCTTCTGTCTCCTCCTCTAGTAAGGTGTTGGTAACGATGCGGTAAAGGGCATCGGAGACGCTGGAGACTTGGTCCCTGCCAGAAACGCCAAGCCCTAATTGGTACATAAATCCCAAATTAAAATATGCCTTGGGGTCTTGTTTCGCCGCAGCAGCCTCGTAATGCAGCAACGCCCGCGACATGCTTACGCCAACAAGTTGGCTCTCACCGTAGTAGTAGAAATCTCCTAGTCGCAAGTTGGCCTCCGCACTGCCAGAAAGAGCGGACAACCCGTACATTCGCAGTCGCAACATGTTAAGCGCCTCTCTCTGCGACAAAAGTCGTGCGTCCGCAAGTGGAATAATTGATGCTTCCCCAGTGGGCACGGGACGCATGGAGTTGTGATACCACTGCAGCCACACGACGCCACCGTCCATACGCAAGGCGCGCTCAGGAGGGCGACCACTCTTTGCAAAGACGCCGTCCTCAAGTTCATCGTCTGTCTCTTCAATGATGGGCAATTTATCCAACAGTTGCGCGACCTGGTACCGAGACGCGGCATGCCCGGTCTCTGCCATTGCAAGCATTTCTAAAAGCTGCGGGAAAATGTTATCTGCACTTGAAGCAAACGATGACGAATACAGCGAAGACGACGACGACGATCCATCGCTGAGTGCAAAGTACGGCACTTCGTTGCTGTGGTCGAAAATAGAGTCGAACCCCGCCACACGACTGTATAATTGCATCGCCTGTTCGCAGTTTCCCTTTCTCTGCTCATGGCGTGCGAGTTGCCAAATGGAGAGAACATTTCCTCGCATCGCTGCCAATCCAAACTGCTTGATCGCGGCGGCTGGATCATACGGCACCCCACGACCGTGCAGAAGCAGCACCCCAAGGTTGTGCGTTCCCTCCACGCTTCCGCGGTCAACACTCTCGGCAAAGAACTTTGCCGCCTTCTCAAAATTCGGTTTTCGCCCCTTCGCTGCTGACGAGTTCCCGTCGTTAAAGAAACCGATCGCGTGCAGGTATCCCATGCCGTTAAGTGAGACGGCGTCCTTTTTCTCTGCTCCTTGGGAAAAATAAGTCGCGGCGGTTGCAAGATCTCGCCCAATTGCCGGATTTGCAGTACTGTCGCCCGTGGCGTACAGTCTCCCCAATGCGCCGTATGCCGCCACATCACCCTTGGCGAGGGCGTCAAGGAAATAAAGGCGTGCTTGATGCCAATTGCGACGCAATCCATAAATTCCCTTAAAATAAGCGTAGCCAAGGGAAATGATCGCGTCCGTGGAGCCCTCGTCTGCTCGGAACATCAGCATCTGTACCATCTTTGAATTAGAATGCCCGCCATGTTTTAATGCGTCCGCGCTGAATTGCCTGGAAAACCTTTCTGTGGGATTAGGCATGCCCTCATAATTCGTAACGACGACGTCAGCGGCCTCGCGATAGTGCTCCAATGCGTCCTGGCAACTCTTCGCGACGCCCAGTCCATCTGTATACCGCCGCCCAAGAGCCATGTGAGCCTCAAATACTTTCTCCAACGCTGCAAAGGTATAATGCAAGACCGCCTTGGCATCCGATTGCGGAACGCCAATTCCATTCGCGTGTAATACACCCAGTAACCAATGCAGACGACCGTGACCATGCAAGGTTCCCTCCTTAATAAGCTCAAAAGTAGACGAAAGGTTGCCGTTGTAGATGGAACGCACAACATTTTGGTAAAGCTCCGACGGCTCCACATTCGATAATTGGCTTGGTACAAACGAGTACGCATCCGCCCCTTCCGTCTCGGTTTCGGTTGTAGGGAATTCTTTCGAATAAATTTCCTCGATACCAAATTCGGCTGCCGCATCAACCGCATTATCGCGATTCATATGATGGTTCGTTTCATCAACGTCACGGTCATTTACACTATACTCCGCGGCAGAAACTGAAGTTGTGAGCGTATCCACGTCATTCACGATTGGCATAACACCATCGTCCTCCTGTTGTACAACCAACGCAAATTCCCTCATCGCATCATTTCTGCGTTTCTCATGCCTTTTTTCCTCCGACGCCTGCAGGGGATTCTTCTCTTGTTTCTCCTCCATCACATGGGCGAGCGCAAGCGAATCGGATGGCTCAACCACACTCCGGTCAGCCTCCTTTATTCCTAACGCGTCTTTTTTCGACTGAGTTAACTTCTCGGACGCCGCGGAAATTTCATTCTCCCGTTGCAGTTCGGGATATTCCTTCACGGGTAATGCTGCCCTCTCTGTGGCCGTTTTCACCGCATCTCGTGGATCCTCCTCTGAATCACCACTGGCCGTTGACACGGACGAGGATGGACCAGAGGAGGAGGAGGGAGAAGAAGAAGAGGACAGGGCCGTAGAGGGCAAAAAAAACAAAGAAATTATTAATACTAAAAATACCGGCGTCACCGACCCCTGTGGCCGAAGGAGCCGCAGTTGCGGCAGAAACAGTCCCGACATGCAAAGAATAAATGCCGTCGCTACGACAAGCCAGGAATGTTCTGCAAAACACACACACACAGAGACAAAAAAAAAAAAGCCTTCTAATGCTGAACAAGAAGAAAGAAAAAGCACCTAACCTCCCCCCCTTCCTTGCAGTGGACGTAGCACACAAAAGAATAGATGGGGAGAAAAGCAAAAAAAAAAAAAATTTTTTTTAAGAACAATTAAAAAAAAAGATCTTAAGACATCCAAATAAAAACACAAGGCACACCACAAACATACGTATTGGCTTGCCGCTGTTGTATTTGTTGTGTTTGTTGGGATGGGAGTTTATCGCAATGAGCCTTTATTAATCGAAACGGTATCATACTCCGTTTTTTTTTTCCTTCCCAATCGCGAGAGAAGAAAGAGAAAAAAAAAGTTGACTTTTAAGGAATCCTTGTTGTTTTGTGTTTTTTGTGTGCCCCTGGTCCTCCCTCTTTCATTCATTTACTTTTTTTTTATTCCTTTTTTTTTCCTCTTCTTCTCTCTTCTTTTGACGCCCTCACTTTCCCCCTTCATCGTCCCCGTAAAAGTAGGCCTCCAGTGCCGCGGTATCGGTGCAAGCGGCCAGTGTGCACGCGAGGGAGACTCGAATCATCTTCGTGTCGTCCTCTTTTGACAACATGCCGCGCACAACGTCGCGGTGGTACGGCAGGCGTATCTTCACCTCCTTTGAAACGCGCATCTCCGCCTCGGTGCTCTCCACGAATCCAAAGCACGAGAAAGAGAACCCTTTGGGCATGTCCATTAAACTACGGTAATTTCCCAACGGTCCATTTGATGCCTCCTGCCGCTGGGTAACACACGCGAGAGGTGAAGAAGAGGGGACAAGGGAAAACGAAAGCGCCACAACACTGTGCTCCAGTGCCGCGCACACCATATCGTCCGTCATATCACGGGCATCGTCCACGCCGGCAAGCACAATCGACTCAAAATGCCTCAGTTGACCCCTGAACAACGTCGTGGACTCATCCGCTTCTGTCAGTTGCAACTCGTTCCCACCATTCTTCCGCCGCTTCTCATCCAGGGTCTCGTAATAGCAGAATATGGGCGCCAAATGCTGCTGCCAAATGGCACTACGAATAGCAGAGGCTTTAGGCTGTATACCCTGCTGCAGTGATCCCTCGCTCCGCGTTACGTTTACCGTATGCACTCTCCCAGACCACTCAGCGGTAGTAGCATACTTCGGTCTATTCATGACGGAATGCGGGTACGGGAGTCGCCCAATGACGTCGTTCACTTTCCTTTTCGTGTTTTCCAACTCGGCACGGCGCACAAAAAACCTTTTGTGCAGAACCTCCGAATTGAGGCCTTTGGTAGGACACATGAGCAACTCGCTGTCGCGCGCCCAGCGTGTCTCCCCTTCCTTCACCAAGTGAACAATGTGCTTGGGTTGTAGGCGGCGTATCGCCTCCACCGTCATGCGCCGTCCCGTGCTAAGCACCCAACCGTGTGTGTTCACCACGACAGGAAATCGTCGCTGCAGTGGCCCAACAATGGCACAAAGCTGCTCAATGGCGATCGCTGTCGCTACTGGGCAGCGCGGACGTGACCCGCCAAGGAAAAATCCCTTCACAAGTTTAACCTTCCTTGTGTCACGTGGGCGAAGAAGAGGTTGTTGGACGCAGTAGAGAGAAAATACCCCAGGGGGAGAAAACTCCGGCTGTCCGAGATCCAAATCAAGCCAGTAGCAGACACCATGCTGTGAAAATAGGGCATTTGCAATAAACCGCGCAAGAGTCGACTTGCCGATGTTCTGTGAACCCAACACAACCACCACACCGGTGCCTTGCTTCACAATGGCAGGAATTACCTCCGGTAACAAGACCGCATCAATACCAACATCATTTCCACGTGCAACAAAGCGTGGAACTTCCATAAAAGCGTCGGTTAATTTCTTCCCCTTCCCTTTAAGACGATGCCGGCGCGTTGGGGGCAGACCGTAAGGGTCATATGGCTGCACAACTAGCACAATGCTTGGCATCTTGTTCGCAAATCGTCCCCGCCAAGACCCAATCGTTGTCTCCACCCAAACCCAATCAATGGCGCCAAAAATCTCCACGTCATTATCGTCCGCCGCATCCTCATAACTTTCTCGTATCGTCGGAGGAACGACAGTGACCGGGTCGTTTTTTGCCTTGAAAGAGAATGGCACTGGCACCGGAAGAGACTCCAACCCCGCATTCTTGCTTTTTAGGCGTTGCACAGGCGTCAAAACAACCCTATCGGCTTCACTGTAAAGATTAATTTGTTTCTTTCCAAGAAAGAAACCACCAACGGCAACCTCACCAATACCAAACCCAATGATGCCACAAGGGCCCTGAACAGTGACGGGCCCGCTCAGACACATAAGTGTGTGGTGGCATGGACGCATGGCCTCTCGGGCAATGTGCATCTCAAAGAACATCGAAGTGTAGCGGTAACGGCGGTCACTAGTGTGGTTGGTCGCAGCATCCACTCCACCCTCATCCTTGACCGCCCCCATTTTCCCTTTTTGCCATTGTTGTTCCCTTTGCTGATGACGCCGGCGTTCAAGAAGACCAAATCCAGCTCGGTCTCCTTCGTTCTTGGGCGGAACATTATTATCCTTATCATCTTCACCTCCATCATCATTTTCAGAGCTCTCACTCCCGCTGGTTTCTTCCTCCTCTTCCTCTTCCTCTTCTGAAAGAGATTCAATGTTTTCGCTCTCATAGCCGGCAAAGTGTCGATCGATCACCCTCCTTTGCTTTTCCGTACGCGCATCCGCATTGCCGTCATCATCCTGTAATTTTTCATCCGACCAAGATGAGATTAGAGAAGAAGAGTCACTGTTTTCAGCCCGCCCTGTAGCGGCAAAGCGAATAAATTCATCATTGCTATTGGCAAAATGCTCGGCTGGTGGATTCAATTCTCCACTTCGCTGCTGACCCTCGCCTTGTCGAGGTTGAGGTCGAGGAATTCGGCGCACCGAAACCAGCGCTCTCAAATCATCACCTGCCTCAATATCCGACGCTGACGCGTGATGTTTTGCCGCAGCCAGCTTTTTCGAGTGAATTACCTCAGCGACACCTTTTGCCGCACTGTCCCCCTCAACGTTCCCCATACCGGATGCGGGCGGTGTCTTTCCGAGGCGTGTCAGCACTTTATCCGGTAGTTTTAGCCGCTTTACCGGTGGCGCCGTGTCCATATCGTCCCTGTTGCCCCCTTCCGGCAATGCGGTGACGGCGTCGGACGGCGCCCATGGGTGGACCAAAGGAATTCCCCCGCCGCGAGTCGTGGTCTCCTCTGCCCCTGCAGACACCTCGGTGGTGCCAGTGAACAGAAGCCGCCTCGTCCTCCGCATAGCCACTAGGATCAATAGAGAAGAAAAAAAAAAAAAAAAAAAAGCAAATCCAAAAATAAAAGAAAAGTTCAAAAATCATTCGATAGTCTAACCTAATAAAACAAGTATTTTCTCACGTCAGGCTCAAACAGACAAACAGAAACAAATACCCTCCAAGAATATCCGCAGAGCGCACACTCGGAGGATTGATGGAATGGTTCCACGGCACAGAGTGACCACTCAAGTGAAGACGTAAAAAAAAAGGAAAAAAAAAAGCTGATAAAAGTCTCTCTCTTCTCTTTGACTCCGTTTTTTTTTTTCCTGCTGTTTTTCTCATCCCCGGTCCACTGGGCGCCCGTGCATCGCTCATCCGTCCTTCTCCGATTCTCTTTTTTTTGTCACCACTCTGGTTGTCTCTAATTATTCCATTAAACGGGAATGTGTGCACACAGTCTCACCCTCTCCCTCTTCTCTCTCTTAGTGCACGTTACTTTTATTTTTATTTTAGGCAAAAGCAAATTGTATTTTAAAGGCCACGGACAGAGACACAAACACACACACACTTGCATACAACATTGTAAAATCAATGGTGTTGCCCGCTTCACCGGAATTAACGAACTGTCGCTCGCCCTGCAGTCACCTCCAACTGTTGACTCCTTCGTTTATTCCCCTGCTTCCTTCGTCCCGACTGCAAAGGTGACGGTCTTTCCGTTCTCCTTTCGGCCCGCTGCTGTCTTCTTTTCCGACGCTGCTATCGAGGCATTCAACTCGGCTCGTGCTAAGAGTTGGCGCTTCTGCTCTTCTAGAATACGGGAAAGGGACTCCTGCGTCCTCTCTGACCGCAATTTGCGGCGGGAGCTGCGGACCAAAAGACGCTCCTGCATCTTTCTCTGCAACAACTTGGCGTGTGCTATTCTCTCCCGCAGTGTCATCTGCGCAGCCTTTTCGGCAGACTTTGCAATTTCCAACGCCTTCTTGTGCTCCTCGTCAAACACGCTGCTACCAGCGGCCTTCTTTGTATTCGGTCGTGGGGTTTGCCGTTCCGGCTGGTCACTTGTGTCGCTTCCGCCCTTGTGAAAATCGTGCGTCCGTTCCACCCCGGCGTGAGGAGTTAAGGAGATCTCCTTCTTGCTGCGCTTCTTGGGCGGCTCTTCCTCCTCGGTTGCATTATTCTTCTTCCTTTTCGGATGCGTCTTTGTTCCCTGCGCTTCCCTTTTACTGGAGTCGGTTGCTGCCGCTGTCTCCTCCTTATTTTTGTCCTCATCTTCACCAGCCTCGGCGTCAACAACTTCCTGTTGAGCCTGCGTCTTTTTCTTCCTTTCCTCCTCCATTAGAGCCGCCTGTGCCCCTTCGCTCTTTGCTAGTAGGGCCCTTCGACTACGTACCTTCAGCTCTCCGTCTTCGCTGATACGAAAGCGCAGAGCCTTCTGCCTGCGTATATTCTCCAGTATCTTCTCCCTTTCTGCCTTCAGCGAATTAGGAATTTCACCCTTGATGGGCAGCACACAATTTAGTACGCCATTTTTAACATCAAACTCGTATTCCGCCTGATTGGAGCTAATGCGCATTCCTTCCGGTATAGGAAGCTCCAGTCGGTACTTCTTTGTGTGCTTACTCGTGTCAACAACAAGCATCTCGTCCGTCGTCTCGCTAACATCCACATGTACCGGGGGAACATGGTGCAGTTTCACATCCACAAGAATTTGTTCCTTCTTGTAGTGCACCTCAATGCCATACGGTGGTTCTTGTAAACGGGGGTGCTTCGACGATGCCGATGATGCTGGAGAGGCGGAAGAAGGGCGTTGCCGCTTCACTCCCTTTTTTTTATCCCCGCCCACGTTCACGCTGCCGCGCTTCGCGCGTCCCGACGTTGCAGAAGGGGTATCCGTGAGCATCCGCTGTCGCATCTCCTCCACTTCAGAAGGCAAAATAATGGCGCCCCTCCGTCTAGTTTGGGTGGTGTTGGTGGTGGGCCCCGTTGCGTTCTTCATGCGCTTTTCTTGTCGACGTTCTCTCGCCGCCGACTCCTTGCGGGAAAGCCGCGACTGCTTGGCTATCTTGCGGAGCTCCGCCTCCTCCTTCCTCATCTGCGAGGACGACGGCATTTTCAACGCTGCTCGCCCTCCGCGCCAATAATTTCGGCTTCGCTGCCTTCTCCCCCTCCCCCTTCTCGACTCGTGCACACGAATCCTCTGTGCGCTCAGCCAAAGGAGCCAAAAGAAAGCAAAAAAAAAAAAAAAAGAGTTTTTACCACGCGGTTCCCCCTCCTTTTTTTTTTTTTTTTTTTGTGTGTGTGTGTTTAACCACCTCCAATTTTTATCGCTATTTCCCCTTTTCCCCCTCCTTTTTTCCTGACGTCTGTCCTGCGGCCCCCCACTCCACTCCACCCCCCAACAGTCAAAAGAGCAACGCAAAGAAACAAATGCACACCAAACAAAACAGAGTGTAAACAATCACAAAACAACAACAACAACAACAAAAGCCAAAATAATAGGAATAGCAATAATTAAAAAAAAAAAGGCAAAAGAAAAAACACAGAAATATATATATATATATATATATATACCACTATCCATCAATATACGTATGCATAAGCATACGGCCATATATAGGTATATATAGGTATGGATAAAGAAAGCGAGAGTGAGAAAAGGATTTAAATATACATATGTAGCCACATATACAAGTTTATTTACATTCATGTAAATATGCATCCAAAAGCGGGTACCAAACTGTTGCCTCTCAACATCCCTGTGTAAATAGGGCGCAGATGTACATTGAAGGTAAAGCAAACAAGAGAAAAAAAAACAACACATACGTATATATTTATATTTATATTTATATCGTAACAAAGAAAATGAAAAATCCAGCAAGCACAAAATAAGAAGAAGAAGAAAAAAAAAAAAAGAAAGTTAGATGGTTGCCCATCTTCATGCAGTCGTCTTGTTTTTTATTGTTGTTTTTTCGTTTTGTTTTGTTTCTTTTTTTTTTTTATTAATACTTTTTTTTTTCTTCATTTTGTCTCCTGCCTTTCCGGTCCCGTCTTCTTTCTGCTTTTTTTCTTTTCTTTTCTTTTCTTGTTGTTGTTGTTGTTTCCTTTGCGGGACATTCCCCCTGCACGCCAGATCCTGCGGAGAAAAAAAAAAAAAAAATAGCACGACTGCAGTGCACCTTCATTTTTCGTTGCCAGCGAAATTTCGCCCACCGAAGACGGTGGCAGTCGTGCAAGAAGAGAGAAGAGGAAGAAGAAGAGAGGGAAAATGCATGGATGGTGTTTTGAGACGGTGGCTTTAAACTCCGCTGCAAAACAAACAATTAAAAAATAAAATAAAACACAAACAGAGAAACATAACAGAAAAAAAAAAAAAGGGGGGGGGGAGAAAAAAAGACGCCAGGGCTGCGCTACAACGTCCATGGCACCATTTTCTCCCCCAAATGCAACTCCTTTGGTTTGAGGGTCCACCACCTTTTTTTTTGGCACGCTTTTGCTCGCAAAGTTTGTGCCGACGGTGACGGCTGTCCTCCTCCTCCTCCCTTTTCTTCTCGTTGTTCCTCCTCCTCCCCCTCCTCTTGTCGGCCGGTGTGACTCGGAGCGCCTCTGGAAGACGGCCACTGCACACACCTCTCCAATGCCGTAATGGGAGAAAGGTGGTGCAGGTCAAACCCAGCAACCTGACGCGAACGCTTAATGGTCGCAACCGCACGGCGCTCGTAGAACCCCATACTCCCCGTGGCGTACCATTGACTCTCCGCACCGGTGCAACGACCACTTCCATCAGCATTTATCATGTTATTGAAGTGCAGGTAAAACTGGGCTGTGTTTTCGCAGGCTCTTCGTATTCGTGCCACAGACGCCGCCTGCTTCGCACCAACAACACTGGCAAGTGTTGTTTCGTCCGATGTGGGCTTTGACCGTTTCCCATCGAGTGGGTTAGGTGCCGTCAAAGAGGGCCAAAAAAAAGATGACGGGGTCGTCACGGTCATACCAAAACCTCCAGCGGCGGAAACCAAGCCATATTTACAAGTATCAGACAAGCCGCAGTTTCCTGTAGCTTGCGTGGATGCCATCTTCTTTTGCTGAGACATTTGAGAGCAAAGAGTTTCTCCTTCCACCGATTCGCGTTCCACAACCGTCGATTGTCGAGTCCGAATTTTCAAAGAGACAAGTTCCCGTCGTACATTGCGTACTGTCAATTTTTCAGCGAGTTCCGATACAGTCTGTCGTCCCATGGATCGAATTGGTTGCATACCTGAAGACACTGTGCGAAATAAAAATGACCCCGGCGACGGTTGCTGTTGTCCCTGTGACGCCTTGCATGACGCGGTCGACTTTTTGAATAAAGCGGAAATGGTAGAAGAAAGGGAAAAATTCTTCAACGGAACTAATTCCTTCCTCAACGAAAGCGGAGGACTAGCGCTGTCATCAATAACTTGGCTTTCCAGTGCAATATTATCCCCCCATTCCGGTGAGTGCATCAATGTTGACTGTAATGAAGAAAAAGTATTCTCTGCAAAGACACCGTCTTCATGCATGTGTCGCTTCCCCGCATGCAACTTGGAACCTGGTTGCCGGGGCATCAAATTAGATGGCAGCATAGAGGAAAGTTCTCCGGTGTGCTGACATGAATCATTACCCGCGTTAGAAAAAAAGGATCTCTTGCAGTTATCTGGACGCCGACGAAAAGGAAAATGATGACTTTGTTCGTGACGGCTGCAGCTACGACTGGAAGATCGCCCAGCTCTGTGGGGCGAGTGAATTCGCGGCGGTGACTGCGGCCTATCCCCCTCCCCCTGAATCATGGACTGAACGGCGCTTGTCGGCCTCATTACGCCCACATTCCCACCAGGTAAACTTGCCTGCAAACGCTCCTCAGCCTCCGCTATTATTGCCTGCTCTCGCGCACGAAACCGACGTAATCGTTCACGGTGCTGCTCAAGAACGGCTTTGCGACTATCAACTCCTGTCATGAAAAAATACAATTCGCCTTTAACACGTCCTATGGTTTCAATAACTACCGAGCGAAGCGTGTCTATTGTGTGGATAAAAAGCTGCTCGTCATACTCCCATTGCGTCATGCTTGGAAGCGTCCTCTCAACAAGTCCAGAAAATGCAATCTTCTCAAGTTGTTCCTCCGTAAATTTGTCTGGCATGACACCACTTGTCCACGGCACCTTTAAAGGTCCCAGACCGGCCCGTTCCGCGGCGTGCCCCATAGCGGCCTCACAAACAACAATGGTGGCCCAGCTCAGCAGTGTCTCACGGTACGTATGAAGAAAGAAAGAACGAGAAGATGCCGGTTCAAATGACATGTTTAAGATACTCTGAAAAATATCCCTAAAACTCTTAACAACGTCCATCAATAGTTCCAAAATGACAGGTGGGAAGAAATCCGCAATTTCATCCATACTTATCAATCGGTTTAAGCGCACACTGTCGTAAATGACCCGCATAACAGACTGAAGTGGTAGCAGCGCAGGTTCCGGATGCATAAAGTTATTCATGGCGGAGAGGATTGTGTTATTCGCGCCATCAGAGGCATGTTGTTGTTCCGATGCAAAAGAAAAATCCACTTCTTCTGTCATTCCCTTGGGTGTTGACTGTGGCGACCCGCAGGTACTAAACGGTGCAACGCCGTAACCACCAAAGGCAATAATGAGGAGTGGTGCGAGGGTCTTGGGGCGCCAATCATCCGCCTCCTCAGGTGAATTTACTCGCGAATTTTTACCGCTTTTGAAAGTCTCGACGGTATTGGCATTTCCATTCATCAAGCCCTGGCTGCCTTGTAACGTGGGGTCCTTGGAGCCACTGGGAGGACGTTGCCATAATGCGATGCCACGCGCGACTCGCAGTGGAAGCCCACAAGCATGAAGAGGCGGACGCTGCATCATTGGAACAGTGGAGGAAAGCCAGATGCCCTTCTGGAGAGCCACGCTTTGCAGCGCCTGTGTGAGCGACATGGAATCCTGATGAAGGAAGTAGCGATTGTCCACTTTTGTCTCCTCATTAAATGCCGTCAATGGCTTATTATTATCCGACTTCACCTCACTCACATGACGCAATTCCGTTAATTGTGGTTCTGTTTGGGTCAATTGTGTGGGTGAATCTCTTTTCCTCCAATCGCCAACCGAAAACGCTTCTCGTGTTCTTGAGCAAGACATAGCTTCCGCCTTCCGAATGCGTTGACGTAACGTACGGTAATCTTCCGGATCCCCTTCGTACAGCTCCACAGGGAGGGAGCGCATAAGAACGTATGTCGCCAAGCGTCCGGTAGCCTCGGCGCATTTCTGCACAGTGGGCTCCTCTGCGAGCCATTTTAACAACTGTCTCACATGGCTGTGTGGCGCCGCGTCTACGGGCGTATCAAGAAGAGTCTCACAGACACCTGTCAAATCTTCAAAGGGGTAATTTTGAAAGCCGGCCGTTCTACATGTCGATGTGCGGCCATCATCCCTCCCTCTTCTCGATTGCTGAGAAACCAAATCAAAACTCAACAGTGCTTTCATGAGGTGCCGCCGTACCCCCTGTGTGCGGCGTTCCTGCTCAAAAGCGAGCGCATCACGCGGCGCGTCGTCAACATGTTCGCCGTTGCTTTGCTGGATAATTGAGGGGTCGGTCTCATATAAAGGAAAAGACTCATCCAATCCCGAAAGTCCCTGCCAATGCGGAGCAGAGAGCGTCAGTTCAAAACGTCGCCCCCAATCGTCACACCCAGGTGCCATTGATGATTCCTTGCTCCGGAACGCATATTCTTCTGTCGGAGAGTCAGGTCTCCCCTCCTTCCCTTGCTGCTGCTCCTGCTGCTGTTGCTGCTCTCCACTGTCCTCCGCGTGTAGCAGTTGCGAGAGAGCAGGCACTGGGAAGACTCGTTTGCTCCAATCAAACGTTTTCCTGTTGTAGAGTTTCTCGTACCGATCAACTAGGTAGCGAAGCTGCTCGAGTAACCTCTCCTCAGCATTTACAGAGTCCGAGTGAAGCAAATTTTCTTTGCGCAAAGATTCCGAAACTTCATTCCCGCCGTCCTTCTGAGGTTCCACATGTTCGTTTATGCAATCCCTTGCGCCGGTGTCAGACGCGCTTGGCGTTCCATCGGGAGCAGCCACACGAGTAGTTGCCTCATGAGAAGAAAAAGACGTGGGAAATTCGGAGGGCGACGGTGTAGAGTTGGCCTCCGTCTCCCGTATAAGTTTTTTCGCCGCGTAGTACGCGTAGATTCGCTCGCGTCTCTCTTTTGGTGTGGGCCGCACATAGCGAACCGGGGCATAAAAAATGTCGTTTTTCCCCTTCTTAGTGGATTCGCCAGCCCCTCTCCGCCCCGCAGAAGCAGCAGCGGCTGGAAATCCCTGCCCGTTAGCCCCCGTCGGAGAAGAACAGTGTGCGAATGGGGGGAGGGTGGAAAATGCCGCATTTGGCACCTTCTTTGGGTTCACTGCCCTCGTGCCAGGGTCGGGTTTAACGCCGACGGCTGGTGTGTTTATCGAGTTGACTAGTTTCTTCCCCGCTTTTTGCAAGTGGCCGTCAGCGTCACCGGTAGCCGCAGCCGCCCCGGCTCCACCCGCACCCCAAGGACGGGGATTGCCGTGCAGCGGCAGCAGTTCGTCCCCAATTTTGTTGTCCTTGTTGCTGTTGCTGTTGCTGTTGCTGTTGGTGGTGGTCCTCGTCGTCGTGTAGGGACTTGCGGGCCGCGACTCGTGTGATATTTTCCTTTTTGTCGTGTACATGTTTCTATGTGCGTTGGTGCGTGCGTCACTTCGGCCGGAAGAAATAGAGGCAGGCCGCGAAGGATACTGCGGGTGGATGTAAGAATGTGGCACCGCCCAGCCACAGACAGGCGTGTCCCTCCTCCCCTTTTTGTTTCCTCTTCTTGTTGTTGTTGCTGTTGTTGTTGTTTGGTTCAGGAAGAGAAAGGGAGCGAGAGGCAAAAAGTAAAAAAAAAAATAAAATAAAAAAAAAAGGAAACAGACGTGTGGAAGGTCGGCAACTGCAGGTAAGGCGAGAAATGAAGCACAACACAAACACCGTCGGAAGGGGGGACCGGTGGAGACGGTGAGCGCCGGTGCGAGAAATGAGACATGACAGAGAAACACACATCGACGGACACACAGAAATAAATAAATAATTGTTGTTTGCTTCTTTTTGTTGTTTTTTCCCCCTCCTTTTTTTCTTTTTTTTTTTTTTTATTATTATTGGGAAAAGGGCTGCATCACCTCTTGTTTATCCTTTGTTCCTTATGTCTTTCACCCCACCCCCCACCCCTCCTCCTTCCTCTCTCTTCGTGGTGTATATTATATCGACGCCCTCCGTATTCGAGAGCCAATGTTGCACCTCTCGTGTTCTTTTTTTTTTTTTTTTCTTTGCCTTTCATTCGTCTTTATACAATATATATATATATATATATATGTGTGTGTGTATATAAGGGTTGACGTCGGTGTTCATTCCACACACACACACACACAAGTACATTTTCTGCTGTTATTTAATTACGGCGCACATGAAACATCATGTCACGTCAAGTGTACATGTGAGTCTCATTACATGTGTAACTTCGGTCTGTCTGACTGTCTGTTTTGTTTTGTTTTTTTTTTTATTTTTCTCCGTTTCCATGTCCAAGTAAATGCACACATACGCATATATATATGTATGTATGCATGCATGCATGTATATTTATGTGTGGGCAGGCGGATTATACATCGTGAGCACACATACACATACACATAAAAAGAAGAAAAGGCAAATAAAAATAAAAAACATTAAAAAAAGACGCATGCACGCAAGCATGTATGTTACTTACATGTATAAATACACATGTATAAATGTATAAATATATAAATATAAGAAGAAGAAGAAAGGGCCAAAAAAAAAAAAAAAAAAAGGGGGGGAGAGGGAGGGGAAGATAAAAATAAAGAGATGTAAGAAAGATATAAAGAGGAAGGAAGGAAGGAAGGAAGGAAGCATGAGAGAAAGAGGGGAGGGGATGGAGGGGAGGGGGGGAAACAAGCAGATATTTAACAATAAAATGCAGCAGATGGCCTTTGCCAAATGTGAGAAAAGAAAAAAAGAATGAGAGAAGAACCCCGCACAATACAAATGAAAAGAAAAAAAAAAAGAAAAAAAAAAAAGATCATATATCCAAAACATGCACACACACACAGCCATATAAAAACGCATACATGTCTGTATAGTGATATATAATAAAGAAAGAAGGAAAAAAAAAAAAAAAAAAAAAAAAAAAAAAAAGGCATCCGCAAATACATATGAGTTTCATTGGGGATTTAATTACACACACACACATAAAAAAAAAAAAAAAAAAAAAAAAAGAGGGGACGGGAGGGGAGGGGAGGGGAAAGGGAGCTTCGCAACAGACCCCATTGGCCGCCACCGGAAAAGAGGGGGAATAAAAGGAAAACAATCACCGCCCATTCAATTTTTTTCTTTTTTTTTCTCCCCACCGCCCCACCGCCCTTTTTTTTTTTTTTTTCGTTCTTTTTTGTTGTTGTTTTTGTTTTCCCCCCTCGGCCACACCGGCACATAAATGGAGAGGAAACGTGAAGAGGGGGAGCGGCAAATAACTCGCCTCCTTCCCCATCTTTTTTGGGTTTTTAGGGGATTTTGGGATTATTTTTTTTTTTTTTTTTTTTTGGGGGGGGGGGGGGGGGTTCGCAGGCAACCAAGGAGGGACCGAAGCGCAAAAAAAAAAAAAAAAAAAAAAAAAAAAAAAGAGGGCAGAAATGAAAGAAAAAAAAAAAAGGATGGGGGAACGCAGTGATGGTGAACGAGAATAATGGCGGTGGTAAATAAACGCAAAAGTGAACAAGAGGGAGGGAGGGAGGGGAAAAGGAGGTTTAACGATTAGGGGAGGAGTAGGAGGGAGTCCACATGATAAAAGAAAAAAAAAAAAAAGAAAAATGTAATCAGCAACGAAAGAGAAAAAAAAAAAAAAACGATGAAAAAAAAAAAAAAGAATCATGCAAACACACATTTTATTTATTTATTTATTTATTTATTTTTATATATTCATGTATACATGACAATTCCCATCCCAATTAAAACCACGCCATATATATATATATACATTCAAGACATAAAAATAAATAGAGGTACGTCCATATGTCTCTTTCTCTCTTTCTCCCTCGTGTTGACTGGGCAAACCCGACACACACACACACGCGCACAAACCACACATCCCCCCTATGAGTCTTAAGTGCATGCCACCGGCCGCCGGCGCACACACACATATCCCACTCAACTGCCCGGATAAATACATCCGTGCACGTAAAATCAAACAACAAAAAAAAAAAAAACGGTGAAGATATTCACACAATACAGCTTCAGTGCACACATACACACGCACACACACGTAATCTCAAGAATAATTTCAAAAAGAAAAAAAAGAGGAGAAAAAAAAAAAAAAACGAAAAAGAGCGTATGTGTGATTGTGTGCGGTAAAGGCAGAATAAACAGAAAGAAAGAAAAAGAAAGAAACACCTATCCTTGGAAAGCACAGACAAACACAAAAAAGCACACATGTCTTTTCCCCCGTCCCCCTCCTCCGCTCCGTCCATCAAGACCAATTAATTAATTATTTTTTTTTTTTTCGTTTCTTTCCTTTCTTCCCTTTTCCCGGCCGTTTCTTCCCTTTACCGCATGTCAAGAACATCGCATTTCCGGCCACTCGCCGCCGTTCGTCTCTTCCAAGCACGCAGACTGCACAACAGTTAGTTATTCTTGATTTTTGTTGTTGTTGTTTTTGTTTTTGTTTTTTTTT